CATATATATATATATATATATATATATATATATATATATATATATATATATATATATATATATATATATATATATATATATATATATATATATATATATATATATATATATATATATATATATAAATGAAGGTATTTCAGAGAATGCCAACACCCAGATGACAACCAGCGACGACAACTAAGTATGGAATTAGGATTAGAACCTAAGCAGATCAAATTTTGGTTCCAAAATAAAAGGACGCAAACAAAGGTGTGTGTCTACTCAATTCTAATTAAACTTTTACTAAATATTTCATTTACAATGTTTTTTTCGTTGAATTGGTTACTGAATACTATATATAGCAATCACATGTTTCAAGATGTTACGAGTTTGAGTCTAATCACAGCTTACATTCAATTTAAAAAGCCCAATATTCATGTGTAAGGCTTGTAAAAAACCAAATTTTGCAAACATTCAATCATAAATTTGAATTTTTAGTTCAATTGGTTTTTTTAATAGAAATAACTAAAAAGTTAATATTAGAATATAGTACTACTATATTTTTTTGAAAAAATTTACACCAATACCTCTAGAATTGCACGAGTTTACATAAACATTTCGAGTTTCGTTAAATGACACCAATCCTCCCAAAATTTTCTTATACTCATATCATTGCTCCGAGAATTGATTTTTGTTTACTACTATGCCCCAAATGTAAACACATATCACTTCTCGGAGTAACGATGTGAATATAGAAAATTTTTAGGAGCATTGATGTCATTTATTGAATCTCAGAGTATTTATGTAAACTCGTACAATTCTAAAAATATTGATGTGAATTTTTCTTATTTTTTTCTTAAGGCTCAAAGTGAGAAGGCGGATAATAATGGGCTTCGGACCGAAAATGAGAGAATTCATTGTGAAAATCTAGCGATGAGGGAGGCACTGAAGAGCATAGTCTGCCCAAAGTGTGACGGAGAAGAAGAGAGGAAACATGGCCTTCAACTATTGATGATGGAAAATGTGCAACTCAAGGAAGAGGTACTGTACATAGTTATATACCTTTTCTCAAACAATTAAGAAAATTTCTCTCCCTATTCAATATTTTCTATTTCAAAAAAGATAGACTTTAAAAATGTACTTGGTATAATTTTGGTGTAATTTTTAATTTTGTCCTTAGTTTATAATATGGTAAAATATGATGTTTGTATGTAGTGTATAAAGTGGGATTTCTACTAAGAAATACCGCACATCGGAAATCAAAAATAAGAAAACGGGTATATAAGCTCTTGAGTTGATTACTAATGTAATTGATTAGATTCAATCTTTAAATAATAAAATGTGGTTCAACGCAAGTATCTTATGATTAGGTCTAGTGTTAGTCTCTAGCTAGAATATGTGTATGGAACATAGGCACGTGGAAGCCTGATTGTTAAGAAGTACTCTGTACAAAGTATCAAATTAGATTATCTATTACTCCGTATATTTAAGAAATGTTTGCATTAAATAAAACTAAAACTTAAGTCATTTCCCTAATTAGAACTTAAAATCTTTTATTCCCTAAATAGCACTTAAAAATGTTCATAATGTTCAGTGATGACGAACATTTACTTGAATAATGACTTATGAATAATGACTAAAAGTGATATATTGGGAAAAAACACATGTATTGCTATTTAGGGAAAGTCATTATGTTTTAGTGTTACTTACTTGAATTCCCCTCTATTTAATCTTTGAATATGATTTGTTTTTTATAGCACGAACGGTTATCAACAATTCTTTCGAGTGTCATGGGAAGATCAGCGATAGAATCAACTTCCAGTGGATCTTTGCACGAAGAGAGCAACTATCTAGCAACTACAGGTGGCGGCGGCGGCGGCTCATCGGCACCCATAGCAGAAAAGCGGCAGCATGAAACCGTCCACGGCCGGAATACATATCCAAAGAAAAGTCCGAAGTCGTTTCCCTTCACACCGTGCGGAGGAGTGCAAGAGATGGAGAAAGGAATCATGATAGAGACGGTGGCAGCCGCCATGGAGGAGGTGGTGGAGCTGCTGCAGGCGGATGAGCCGCTGTGGACGCGAAGCCCCGACGATGAAGGGAGATTGGTCCTCCACCTGGAAAGCTACGACAAGCTCTTCGCCAAGAGGAATTACTTGAGAAGCCGCACTGCTAGGACGGAATCTTCCAAGGATTCCGGCATTGTTTCCGCTACTCCGGTTGAGTTGATCCAGATGTGCCTTGATCCGGTACGTACCTTTAAAAATCTCCAATGAGATATACTCCCTCTATTTAATTTCATTAAGATCTCGTTTCACTTAATGAAACGAGTACTAAAACATAGTGACTTTTTTAATGTGGTAACATATGTTTTTATTTTTCAATGTAGTATCAGTATTCAATGTCCAGTGGTCATTATTCAAACTAAATGTCTAACATCACTGGACATTGTTCTTCCCACTAGACATTTTTTACGTACTATTTAGGGAATAAGGAAGTTTAAGTACTATATTGGAAAAGAACACATGTTTTAGTACTATTTAGTGAAAATTTCACTTATTCCTATATATTTCAGTAAAAAAAGGGTGTGATTTTGCAGATGAAATGGATGGATTTCTTCCCAACAATAGTGCACAAAGCAAAGATAATTGAAGTTGTTGATAGTGGGATACTTGGAGGCTCCTTACAGTTGGTAATTAAACATTATTTAAAAAGCCATATCATTAGGACAATATACCCTGGAAATAAAATACTACTCCATCCGTCTCTAAAAATATAAGAGGTTTTGATTTTTAAGAGACTTAAAGGAGTGTATTTTGATGTTGAGTTTCCAAAAATATCCTTTGATGTGATGGGTAAAAGTAAGATTTGATGAGTAGATTAATAGTGAATATGTGTGATGTGATAGGTATGTTAAAAATTAGTAGGAGTAAAAGTAACTTTTTAATAAGAATGAGAAAAGTTTTTTGAGATGGATGAAAAAAGAAAGAAGAAAGATTTTTAGGAAGGGAGAGAGTATGATAGTAATGTTTAATTAGAAAATATTATGTGCGGAGTATTATATATTATGCGTGACAAACAAACAAAAGTAACAGATGTACGAGAAAATGCACGTTCTTTCACCCATGGTGGCGCCTCGGGACTTCATTTTCTTACGTTACTGTCAACAACTTGAACCCAACACATGGGTAATGGTTGATGTTTCATATGACGACTACTCCTTCAAAGACCTTGTAATTGACACTACTACTACTTCTGCTTCTTCCTCTCATGACTCGTGGAGGCTTCCTTCTGGATGTTTGATTCAAGATTTGCATAATGGAAAGTCTATGGTATGTGTGTCTATATATATATATATATATATATATATATATATATATATATATATATCTGTGTGTGTGTAAAACTACAAACTTGAAAAAGTGATGATACAATGTTGTACGTGACAGGTTACGTGGGTCGAACATGTTCAAGTGGACGATAAGTTACAAACCCATTGCCTGTATAAAGATTTAATCCGTGATGGTTTAGCATACGGAGCAAAGCGTTGGATGGCTACGCTTCAAAGGATGTCGGAACGATATGGATTCTTCTTAGGCTTAAGAAGTGTACCTCCTAGACATGAACTTGAAGAAGGTAAGAATATTTCCACTTTCATCATCTACTAATGACAAAATTTAGGATGGAGTAGAGTTCACTAGACAAATCAACTATAAGACATTTGTGCGGAAGCACATTAAAATATTGGATTCAATATATTATTTATTTCAATTTAATGGTTTCTTCTCACTTTTCCGGTCTGTGATACACTCTACCAACAAATCATTTGAGGGTATTCTTTATTGTATTAATTGTGGTGTGTATATAATTGGGCAAATGTAGTGATAAATGCGCCATTGGGGAGGAGGAATATGATGCAGTTATCCCATAGGATGGTGAGGACATTCTACGAAACCCTAAGCATGCCGGAAAGAAAAGATTCGACTCATGAGAATGGCGGCGGCAAGGTGAGGGTATCTCTGCGCAGAAGCAACCAACCCGGACAACCCGACGACAATAGTTTGGTTGTTTGTGCCGCCACCTCTCTCCGGATTCCTATTCCACCAGAACATCTCTTTGATTTCTTCAAAGACAACAGATTTAGAGCCCAATGGGACGTTCTGTCCCATGGCTACCCCGTCACCGAGATCGCCCGCATCTCTACCGGCACCCATCCCGGCAACTGTGTCTCCATCATCCAGGTACAATAATTATAGTCCTCCCTTTGTCCTTAAAAGATCCCCCCTTCAATTTCTAGCAAAAAGTCATTTTTATCCCTACTAATTCTTACACGGCATGTCTGTAAGCCTTTTGTGCACAAAGAAAGCAACATGCTAATGGTGCAAGAAAGCAACATTAGCTCTATGGAATCGCACATCGTGTATGGCCTCGTAGAGCTCCCGGCCATCACGTCAGCCATAAACGGGGAGGATCCTGTGAAGATCCCGATATACCCGTCCGGGTTCGTGATGAGCGGAGACGGGCAATGTGGGTCCCTCTTGACCACGGCCTTCCAAATATTGATGAGAAATAATAATAATAATAGCTCTTTGCCGAAGCATGTGAAGAAGGAGTGCATCGCAACTGTGGACGCTCTTATAAGCTCTACAATTCAGAAAATCAAAGCTGTTTTGGATTGCTCTGAGTTGGACTAATAAGTGATGAATTCTATGTCTTTTCCTGGCTTTTGTTTATGATCACCTCTTTATCTTTATGTTGTTTCCAATTTGAGATTGATTTTACAAACTTTCTTTTGATGTGCTTTAGTTTGCATGGAGTTGGGTTTTTTGTGTAAATGGGTGACTTTTCATTGACATTTGGGATTGAGGTCATTAGTTAGTTAAGGTTTTGATTATCCATTAATATTTGAGATTGATTTAAGTTTTTTAGTACTCCGTAATTAAATAACCATAATTATTGGGGCGATATTCTTGAGTAGATGTAGAATAGTATGAAAAAATTAAAATAAGAGTGATAAATGTTTTTAAATCTCAATAAGAATGCATGCGCACTCTCGTAGCACAATTGGTATTTCAAGTGTTTGTGTTATTCACTATTAGTATTGAAATTTTGAAAATTTCACGAATATAAAATCTTTCAAATCTTGTTACTGCTGCATGGTTGGTGCTTCCATTAGTTTTATTGTTATTTCATACACTTTTTTTCCTATTTCCATTATAAATAGTTATTGGAAACCTTGTTTCATGTTAAGATCTTACCACATACATTACTCGTCACTATGTGATGGACTGGTGGTGTATGTTATGAAAGAATATAATCAATAAAGTTGTTGTTTGTGTATGCAAAAAAAACATGAGGAAACCTTAATTTCCATAAAATTGAGTCATATTTTATGTAGCTCCATTTTATTTAAAATTATATGTCAACAATCAATCTTGATTAATTATAAAAATCAAAACTTGATAAACACTTTACAACAAAATGAGTAATTAAAAAATATTGAAGTAATAAAAACAAGAAATAACTTATTACGAAGTACTCGGTATTATTCAAATGAATTAGACTAATAAAATTAGGAATAACTTATTATTATTGGAAAAAATTAAAATATAGACCTACAATTTTTTTATGCCTATAACAATTTTGATATCTTTACTTAATGACTTTTGAATTAGTGAATCAGACATGTTGCACTTTGCTAGAGGCTTCAAAGAATGACCCCTCATGGTCAGCCCCATGCCGAAAAGACCACCCAAGAGTAAATACTAAGTGATACAGAGCTCTTAATGCCATCTCCATAAATATTTGTGTACCTTTAAATATAACTACATTCAGATTAATCACAAAAGACCAGATTAGATAAGAACTTATTCCAACCAGATGAGAACCAATCAGATCAGGTGAACAAAACACGGCCTTATTCTTATTAAAATCAGATCAGATCAGACTAGATCCAATCAGATCAGATCAAGTCCAATCAAATGAGATCTAAACAAAATTATTATTATTATTATTATTATTATTATTATTATTATTGCTATTATTATTACTACTACTACTACTACTATTACTATTATTAGTATGATTATAAATATTATTACTATTATTATTATCATTACTATTACTATTATTTCCATTAATATTAATAGTAATATTATTATTACTCTTGTTATTACTATTATTATTATTATTATTATTATTATTATTATTATTATTATTACTATGGTTATTACTATTATTATTATGATTATAATTATTATTACTGTTTTTATTATTTCTATTACTATTATTATTATTTCAATTATTATTTTTATTATTATTACTATTATTTCTATTATTATGACTATAATTATTATTATTATTTTTATTATTATTACTTTACTATTAATACTATTATTATTATTATTACTATTTTTATTAAGATTACTATTATTATTACTATTACTATTACTATTTTATTACTATTATTATGACTATAATTATTATTACTATTGTTATTATAATTATTACTATTATTATTAATAATACTATTATTATTACTATTATTATCATGAGTATTATTATTATTTTTACTATCATTATTAATAACATTTCTATTATTCTTTTTTTATATTATTATTATTATTATTTCTATTATTATTACTGTTATTTTTAGTATTATTATTATTGTATTTATTACGGAGTATTATTATTACTATTCTTATTATTTTTATTTCTATTACTATTACTATTATTATTTCTATTATTATTATGACTATTATTAATATTTCTATTATTTTTATAACTATTATAACAATATTTTTAATTTTAATATAGATCAAATTTATATTAGATCAAATATGAGATCAAATCAAACCAAATGAGATTAGAACTTTAAAAAATCAGATCAAATCAGATCGGATCAGGCGAACGGAAACGCAACGCTAGTATCTTTTTGGCTAGGATATGTAGTTGGGGGTTAGTTACCATCGGGCTTCGGCCATTCCTCCAAGGCCTCGTGGCTAGGAAATGTGGGCTTCCAATCCCCATCCAAGCCCGGCCCAGGGGCCCAATATGCCAAGGATGCGAGTCCTCTAGTACTTTTCTTTCTTCTCTTTTTTTCTCACTTTGCTTTTTTGTTTTTACTTTTTTTTCTCTCTTTTCTAGGTCCCCTCTTCTCAAGTTAAAAAAAATCCCCTCTTCTCCTCTCTCTTTTTCATCTTTACTCCATCTCATTTCAACTATTCTTCCCACTAAGGGGTTGTTTGGCAACTTCTGAATAGGTAAGTGCTGAACCAGTAAGAGGTCTGAACCATTAAGAGCTAGTATATTGCTTAACTATTCAGAGGCAAATGTCTGATCAATTCAGATAAGAGGTCTTAACCATTCAGACTCTGTATAATACTTAACCATTCAGAGGCAAATCTCTTAACCATTCAGACATCTGAACCATTAAGAGGCTGAAACAAACAATCTGAACCATTAAGTGCTGAACCATTCAGACATCTGAACCATTAAGATGCTGAAACAAACAGCCCCTAAGTCTTTTGTCTCATAAGTTTTTTTCTAAGATTCTCTCTCTTAAAGTTGCTTTAAGAGCTTCAGCTAGGACAAAAAGTAAACGGAAGTGTTAGTCACTTGGAGTATCTCCAACCCATAATGGAAAAAATGATAGTGTAAAACTAATTTTATACTATCAACAATGTTTTACATATTCACTTTTGTATACTCCCTCCAACCATATCTTGTACTCCCTCCATCCGTGAAAACATGGAAGGTATTGATTTTTAAAAGATTTAAGAGAATGTATTTTAATGTTGATTTTCCAAAAATGTCTATGGATGTGATGTATAAAAGTATGATTCGATGGGTAGATTAACAATGAATAGATGTGATGTGATATGTAGATTAAGATTTAGTTAGAATAAAAGTAATTTTTAATATAAATAAGAAAAGTTTTTTGGGACGAATGGAAAAAAAGGGAAGAATTTTCAGGGACGGAGGAAGTATATAATACACTTTTATAATATTTTATTATTTTAAGTTATTTATTCATAATAAATATATTCAATTTTTGGGTTAATTATAATCACATTTATGATGTGCATAATCTAACCAATTATCTATTAGGAATATTTTTTTAATATTATTTAAAACTAATTAAATATTCAAATAATTGTTTTACCATTTGGTTTGCACTATCTTGTGTATATGTACAAGTTGGGAGTTGTTGTTGCACTATAGTACTTTTTTTAAACCTCAGGTTTACACCATCCCATGTAGTATTTAAAAATGAACAATATATTGGCCTTGTTTGGATACTAGCAGTTGACAGTTGGCTGTTGGCTGTTTATGTTAGCTGATTTGAATGGCTGATTGAGTTAGCTGTTTTGACCGGCTGTTTCTGTTAGCAGTTAAATTTTAAGTGTTTGGCAACTTTAGCTGTTTATAGTTAGCTGTTTGTAAATAAAATTATATAAAAGGACATCCCTCCATTTATGGTATATTTTATTTTACAATTTTTTTAAATATCATATCATAAATATTTTTTTTAAATAAAAAAATTAAATAAATAATTATATATATATGTGTGTGTGTGTGTATAGACATGATATTTATTTTTCATCTAAAAATTAATTCTTTACTGTATGGAATATTAAATTTTAATTTCATTTAATTCATAATAAATTATAAATATAAATTTTTTAATGAATTATAAATATAATTTTTTTAAATTTTATTTTATTTTTTCGTATTTAATTTTTTTAACTTTTATTTTTATTTTTTACATATATTATAAAATATCTTTCAACAAAAATGATTTTTAAAAAAATATTTTTCCTAACCGCCATGTCCAAATGCTACTCACGTTGGCATTTCAGATTTTGGCTTTTCGAATCAAAATGCCAAGTGAAAAAGCCATTAGCCAAATAATGGTTTTGGCGGTTCGCTTGGTTAAAAAAGCTAAAGTCAGTCAAATATGCCAAAAACTATCCAAAATGCTGTTTTCCAAACACGGGTCATTGTATATGGTAGTGTAAAAAGGGAAACCCTACACCCAAACTTAAAGAAAATTGCCACCGTCATTTTATTGAGCTCCACTGCTCCACCAAAGGGAGAGAGTATATTTAACTTTCACCCATCATTTTATTGAGCTCCACCAAAGGGAAACCCTACACCCAAACTTAAAGAAAATTGATCAAGTTGATAATAATTGAATTTATTGAATAATGAGTTTACATGAATATATATATATATATACATATACATATATATATATATAAAGAATATATGGAGAATGCTAATTAGAGTAAAACTTTTCTCATTACTTGAATAGTAAGAAGTCAAGTATTAAAAACTAATGGAGAAGTTCACCAAGATTAGCAAAGACCAAGACATTGATGTGGGGAAAACTAGGAACAGATTAGACGGCTATCCCTCAGCCCGACTTCACTAAAGATTTTTACTATTCGTAATCTAGTTAAGATAAAATCAAAATGTTTCTTTTGGAAAGGATGACATTTTAATTTGGATTAGGCTATTTGTACCCCAATATTTGTAACTCAATTTGTACCCGCATGTTTGAACCTTCATTTTGTGTCAGTATAATGATAGGATGATAGTTCACATGGACACAAAGTATTAGTGCAAATTTTTATTAAAGCACCAGCATTTTGTATCAATGTGAATAATAAAAATTTTAGTGTATATTTTTTGTGTAACTTCGAGGTATGGTGTCATTATAGAATGATTCTTTGAATTTAGCTCCTCTTCAGCACTGTTCCAGGACCACGACTTCGGACTACGGAGGTGGAAATGTGAATCATCATCCTCTTTTTCCGGGACGTGGTTCCATGGGCATTGCCTTTTCCCACCGGTGGGCCCATGCTAAAACTTTAGAGAGTCTATAAGGGAGGGAATAATTTAGAAAATACCCCGTACAAAAAAAAGAGGGTGGGAATCAGAATAATGCCAGTCCGGGAACTCAACGGCAGAGGAGCTGACGCGGAGGCGGCGGCGGTGTGGCGGCAGATCAGAGAAGAGGCGAAGCGGGACGCCGAATCGGAGCCGGTGCTCGCCAGCTACCTACACTCCACCGTCATATCTCATTCCTCCTTGTTCCGCTCCCTCTCTTTTCATCTCGGCAACAAGCTCTCCTCCTCCACCCTCCCCTCCGCCCTCCTCTACCACCTCTTCCTCGACACCTTTTCCTCCCCCGCCGACCCGTCCCTCCGCGCCGCCACCGTTGCCGACCTCTGCGCCGCCCGTTTCCGCGACCCCGCCTGCATTTCCTTCTCCCACTGCCTTTTGAACTACAAGGGCTTCTTGGCCATCCAAGCCCACAGGTTGGCACACAACCTGTGGCTGCAGGACAGGAAGCCAGTTGCCCTGTCCCTGCAATCCAGGACGGCGGACGTGTTCGCGGTGGACATACACCCGGCGGCAAGGATAGGGAGAGGGATGTTACTAGACCATGCCACCGGAGTGGTGATCGGAGAGACGGCAACCGTCGGGAACAATGTGTCCATGCTGCACCACGTCACGTTGGGCGGGACAGGGAAGCTTTGCGGTGGTGGCGGTTGCGGGGACAGGCACCCGAAAATCGGGGACGGAGTCTTGATCGGGGCGGGTGCCACCATATTGGGGAATGTGGAGATTGATGAGGGGGCGAAGATCGGCGCCGGATCGGTGGTGCTCATCGATGTGCCGCCGTGGACCACGGTGGTTGGAAGTCCTGCTAGGGTATTGCGCGGGAAGGCACAGCCACATGTTCATGAAGATCGTGTTCCTCTCGAGTTCATGGTATAGTTTTTTTTTAGAGCACAGATGGTGAAGACATATATATATATGCCCTGGTTCACTCTCGTCTCCCTCCCTCCAACAATAAAGTTCCCGTTCACTATTCCAGTCAAATTTTATTTACTTGTTAGCCTATATTTGTGTCTTATTCGATAAAATAATATAGTCATGTCACCTCTAGTTTTATAAATCTTTTCATGTAATTTTTAAATATCTAATTTTTATTTTTTAATTCCATATCATTTTTCATATAAAATGATTTGAAAATAATTCCAGTCAAACATCATAACGAGCAATGAGAACTTTATTTGTGGACGGAGGGAGTATAAAATAAAGTGGAATTTGCGGACTAAAACATACTCCATATAGCGTTTCTGAATTTTGAGGGTCCGTTTGGTACACAGAATTGATGGAATTGGAATTGGAATTGAATTGGAATTAAAATTCCAGAGAATTGAATTCACCAATTCCAATTCATTTTTTGCACTACCAATTCCAAATCCACATAATTATTGTGCTACCAAACACGAGAATTGGAATTGAAGTCCTCAATTCCAATTCTATATATTGATTTCCGTGTACCAAACGGGGCTTGAATGTAATTAATAACACTTTTCCCAAACGAGGCTATATTCTACTATAGTAAAATAAAATATGTTCTTTAATAGTAGGGGGAGGCCGAATTAGATCTACAGGCCGAATATATATATATATATATATATATATATATATATACATATATTCTATTTTGCAGATAAAAACAGAGTCCTATACGTCCTATTTTCCTATATTTCAATCATATTTTAGTTTTTTTCAATAGGGATATTTACGCTCTGTTCATTTTGTTCATTTGAATTGTAAAAATAGGGTCCGATATTGAAAAGAAACAAGAAGTATAAGAAACTGAAGAAAGTTGAAAAAAACTTGAAGAATTTGGAAAGTATTGTAAAAATAAAATGTTAAAAACTCATTGAATTAAATAATAACTCAAATAAATACAGAGCATGTAAGAAACTAATTTTAGATACTGGAAGGTATTTGGAAAAGTTGGAAGTTAATTTTTCTAAATCAAATAAACAGGTGCTTAGTAGATTAATGCGGAGTACATAAATTAATATCAGTGATTAAAAAAATTAATTTCGGAATCTAAATTACTCCCTCCGTCTGGAACTGAAATTTTCATTTCGGAAAACTAGATTTGACTGAAGTAATTTTTTATTAATTCAGATGATTATAAATGTATAATTCAAAAATAAGATTTATATTTATAATAACTATGGGTGACCCGGAGGATGCGCAAAGTAGGACCCAAAATGTAAATTTTAAACCCAGCCAATTTTATTTTTTCATTTTTCGGAGCTGACCCTAATAATAACTACATAAAAATTTTAAAAAGAAATTAATTAACGTGACAGGATTATATTAATAGTATGAAATTAATATTAAAATTAAGCAAAGAAAATATCAAATAAGTTAAGTTTTTGTCTTATACAGGGCAAATTTCAAATCAAAACAAAGGAGATCCTTTTTTTTCTATTTTCAAAAGGACAAATAATTTTGTTTTTTCAATATCTTTTGACTGATTTGACATTAAATGAAATACTTGGCAGTTGACTAGACCTCAAAATCCGCTCAAAGTGAAATATTCGGCCAAGGACCTCGTACTCCAAAGTCCAAACTCCAAATTTGACCAAATGAGAGGTTATGTGTTCGAGTCGCAGTGCAGAAGTAACTCCAAGAGCTTAATAAGTTGAAAATAATATATGAACAAATACTGCATGGTAATAGATTATTAGTGTTCAAAAAAATTAAACACTCCGTCTCATAATAAATGTTACATTCCGAATCATATATAAAATTCTATCACTTTTATTATAATTTTAATTCTAAATTTTTAAAGATATAAAAAAATATAAATTACATAGTTTGAAAGTAAATAAAAAGTTCTATAAAATACTTCATCCGTTCTCAAAAACACTTTCTCTTTCATTTTTTTCACTTCCAAAAAAACACTTCCTCTTTCATTTTTTCCATTTCCAAGAAAACACTTCCACTTTCTATTAAAAACCACTTTTACCCTTACTTTTTCATACCCTAACTATCACATCATACTTTTTCACTAATAATCTATCCATAACATCTTACTTTTACCCATCACTTCAAAGGCAAAATTGGAAGTCAACTATAATTTAACAGTTCCTTATTTTTACACTTTGTCAAAATAGGAACTATTTTTGAGAACGGAGGGAGTAAGATGTGACAAGAATAATTTATTTTATCAAATTATCAAAGAAAACATATAAATAAACAAAAGTTATTGAGAGGTCGTAACAATAACAGTGGTACCTATTATGGCACGGAGGGGGTAAACTTAGAGAGTGCAATTAAAAGGGGTGGAGTCAATTTGGATTAAATCGGGTCGAGATTTTGGGGATGTCTTTGAGGGCAAAAATTGTCAGTTTTTTTAGACAGAACATAAGATAAAATATTCTCTCAGTTCCAAAAAGAATTGCACTCTTCACTATTCAAAAGCCACAAGAACTTTTATTTATTTATGCATTTTGATAGATTATTTGATAAAATAAAATATTCTTGTCATTTCATGTTTTATAGAAATTTTCACGTAGTTTTTGAATATGTAAATTTTATTTTTAATTTATATGCCAATCGTTAAATAAAACAAATCAAAAACTTAAATTTTGCTTCATTTTGTGCCAAGTGAATGACATTTTAGAACGAGTAAAAAGTAAACCTTCAATTTTTTAAAAATTACTTTAGGATAATGCTTGAAATAATTCGGATGTTTTTTTATTATTCAAAGACATAAGAGATCCTTACGTTTTATTGTAAAGATTAGAAGAAGATATTTCAATTATTCTTTTGTTGATGACCCTCTAAAAGAATATTTTTCCTTTGCCCTTACTGGTTTTATGTTAGAGCAGCTCAAAAGGGGAGGGCAAATGGAAGGGTAAGTAGCAATAATGGTGATATTTATCTTTTCTTCACAATAATCTAATCTCTAAGGTCACTGGTAATGCCTGTAACGCCGAGCGGTATTATGAGGCTTTTGATGCCTTGGGAGCGTTAAACACCGTCCCCTCCCCCATTATAGGTGCGTTAAAACTTCCTTCTTGTTTCCTCCTCTTTTTTCCTCTTTTCTTCTCTATAAACTAAATTAATTTTTTTTAAATTCAACACAAATATAAAGTTCTCTCTATCTATCATCTTTTTAAAAAAATTATTATTCAATTTTTTTTTCATGAATGTAATTTTTTTATTTAATGAATGTAATTTTTTTTTATTTAATGAATGTAATTTTTTTTTATTTAATGAATGTAATTTTATTATTTAATGAATGTAATTTTTTTATTTAATAAATGTAATTTTTTATAATGAATGTTTTTTTAATGAACTTGTTGGGTTCTAGGACCCGAGGCCTAGGAGACTAGGCGGAAGAGTATCGAACCGAGTCAAAAGTGCATAAGTTTGGGGTCAAGTAAAATATGGGTGTTATTGTGCTTGTTAAAACATGTGGTGTGTGTGGAATGAGCTCCCTCCCTCTCTCCCTCTTCCAAGAAGAGGGGTATATATAATGGGAGAGTTAGGGCTAGGGTTTTGGCCCGTACACAAAACAATGGGCTGGCCCAACAGACTGGGCCGCCCCTAAAATAAGTAATTAACACGGCCAATGGGCTGGTCCAACATACTTGACTGCCCCGACTAATATTACACAAAGACCGGATACCCCTTGTCCAGGGTATCCATCATGAGTCCCCCTCTTCCCGAGGCGAGAGGAACTTGAGGTGAAGTGGAAGTAGAACAGTAATCCGCCACGGAAGGACACTGATTTCCTTGGTTTCTAGAGCACCGCCAACTCGTAGTCCCGAGCACGGTGAAAGTAATCGCCCCAATCAGCATGAAGTGTGCTGACGACTCACTGTCTGAAGCAGCAAAACAAGAAAAAATACATAATCTGCTCAGGGTCTTAAATGATCTGCTCTCGTACAAAGTACATCGCCCTCTTCAAGGATCGTCCCACAACCCCATCAATGTGTGACTCACTCTATGGGGGGGATGCCTCATTAAAAACTTGCCAAGGAAAAAACTCATGAGGATGGAAAAAATCCTCGGTCAAGAAAACATTGCTAGGGTGTGAGGTCTTCTGTGTGAATCTCAGAAGAGGTGATCTTCAAGTCCCCCAGACTCGTTGTCCGGAGTCGAGGGCTGTTCGACATAATGGGTTGCCGACGAGTGCATGCCGACATGGACTGTTGCGATCTGATACAAGGTCAGGATGCCAATCACGAAGCTCTCCTATAATAATTACGAGCCGAGCACCCGGAGTCCCCCACTCCCTAAATCGAGGAAGAATTCTGAGGTGAAGGGGAGTAGTGTCCATGCTCGGTGCCGACGGGAGTCTGTGGCTCCCTCACAAGCTTGAATGGCTGAGGCCGAGCTTGAGTGGTTGGGGCCGAGCTTGAATGGCTGAGGCCGAGCTTGAGTGGCTGGCCAAGCTTGGTTGTCCTACGAGGTGGTCGAGGCCGAGCCCGAGTGCCTCACGCGGTGGCTGAGGCCGAGCCTGGCCTTCTCATTCTTCTAACTTGCAAAATAAGTTCAAAAAAGAACACAAGGCGCTCGTAGGCTCGGATGGACCAATCACCACGCGGTTGAGAAAAGTAAGTCAACGCATGAGTTGGGTCCAAAGTTTTGGACAAAAGATAGGCCTAATCAGCAAAGTGCGCCGATCGTGTAGTAGTCTGGTCTAGAACAAACCTTGACGTCATCCTTAGTGAGACCGGGGTCTTCAAATAAGAGCTACTCGGGTAACTGAGATAGGTACAAAGGATGCACCCCTCGCCTTAGATCCGAGAGCAAATAGTTCACGTCGTGGAAGACGGATATATTGGAGTGCGTCGAGATGGACGACTTACCTCGGCCTCGTGAATAATATCTTCGTGGACGATTTGGAGTGCCTTGTGGAGAGGGCTTACCTCGGCCTCGTAGAAGAGGAAACAAAATCGCGTCGTGGGAGACGGATGGGAGTGCGTCGCGGCGGACGTCTTACCTCGGCCTCGAGGAAGAGGAAATCAGATCACGTCGTGGAAGACGGATGGGAGTGCGTCGCGGTGGACGGCTTACCTCGGCCTCGCGATAATATCGTCGCGGACGATCTTGAACACCTCGTAGAGAGGTTTTATCCGGCCTCGCTAAGGAATGACTAAATGAGTTGGATCTGAGCCATGCCCTGAGGCAGGTCGCTGGCCTGTGTGGGGTGTGAGATTAAGCTTCGCACTCGTCCCACATCAAGGCTTAAAGTGTTGAACACAAAGTGTAATACCATCGTCCAAGTGAGGTCCGATCACATGTGGGGGACAAGGTAATAGTAATAATAATAGAGTGAATGATAGGAATTACCATATTGATAATATGGTAAAAAATAATAATAAATATGGAATAGTTGAAATGATGTGTTAGGTGTAAAAAACTTACTCGTATCTTTTATTTGTTGCTCGCTGGTCTGAATTATGTACCCCCATACGGAGCAATAATACAAAGGAACTAATGCTTTCCTATCAAAATGAGCTGGATCACATAGGGAATCGGGAGGAGGCTGGGGCGCAGAACTGTGCTGGATTTGCTTCCCTGTAAACATCGAGATCCTCCATCTTCCCAATCGCGTTTCTTGGTCTCGACGATGGAGACCTTGAAACCATGGCGGCGGCGACATCGGATCTAGGCTGCGATTGCAGCGCCGGGTTCCAATGGCAGCGGCAGATGCGGCTGCGGCAAAGAAGGATTGAATGTGGCGGCAACCGAGGCGCAGCGCCCCGCGACGAGGATCTTCGAACGGAGAAGGGAGCATCCCGCGGGAGTCATCGGCGGTGAGCATCGGGGTTCGGCTGCTGGATGCGTGTTTCCTCGTCGCCGGCTGCATAGATCTGATGCACAGATCTGCTGCGGGTGTTGCTGGTCGCCGGTTCACCGTTCAAAGCTTGCCGCTGCTGCGCTCGCCGGAGCGAAGGGGTCGCTGGAACTTCAACGAGCGTAGCCGCCACTCTCGTTCGTGATTTAGTCCAGCTCGGATAGCAGGTGAAAGGCTGCGGCTAGCACCAGTCGCAGCACCTCTGATACAGATGAGAATGGAGTTGCCGGCGCAGATCCGGGGTCGTCAATTGAGTCCTGAGACGACGAATCTGTGGTAGATCTACGGCGAGGCTCTCCCGTCGTGCTTTGAAGCCGGCGATGGTCTTCCGTGTGCCAATGGCAGAGCTGATCGGCAATGGGTGGGGAATACAAGACTAGTGACGGAATCCCACCACGAAGAATTGGAAGAACAATTTTGTTGTTTTTTGTTTTTGGAGCACGCTTGATGTGTTCAACACTCTCAATGAGAGCACCAATGTTGGGTTTTAGGACCCGGGGCCTAGGAAACTAGGCGGAAGAGTATCGAACTGAGTCGAGAGTGCACAAGTTTGGGGTCAAGTAAAATATGGGTGTTATTGTGTTTGTTAGAACGTGTGGTGTGTGTGGACTGAGCTCCCTCCCTCTCTCCCTCTTCCAAGAAAAGGGTATATATAATGGGAGAGTTAGGGCTAGGGTTTTGGCCTGTACACAAAACAATGGGCCGGTCCAACAGACTGGGCTGGTCCAACAGACTGGGCCCCGCCCTAAAAATAAGGAATTAACACGGCCAATGGGCTGATCCAACATACTGGACCGCCCCGACTAATATTACACAAAGACCGGATACCCCATTGTCCAGGTTATCCATCAGAACTATTCTCATTTCAATTCTTTTAAATAATTAAATATTTAAATTTTATTAATTTAATTTTAGAAGATTTGTATTTAAAATGTAAAAAATGAAGGTTTGAAGTCCCAGTTTGAAGCCATGGGTTTCAAACCAATTTTCTCTGAAACTGTGAGGTAAGTTAAAGCTGACGTGAGAGAAAGAAGATTTGAAACTCCGGTTTGAAGCCCCGAGGCTTCATGGGTATTTACAGTGCTCTAAGAGCAACTCCAATGGTGGGAGGTATCTTGGAGAGGTATATAGCTCATTTACCTCTCCTTGTGATTAAGTTTACCTTTCCAAAAAGTGTACAAATCCAATGAAGGAAGGTAAATCAAAAGGCAAAAGAGGGAAAAAATCCATCTCAATACATTATTGGGAAAAAAATAGGTGATTTATCTTCTTAAATCAAATTTTAATTATTAGAAAAGAAAATATACATTCTTAAAAAATTCATGGGGAGGTAAATTTGAGGTTTGTTGCCTTTGTTTCTTCTTGATTAAATTTTTTAATTTAAAAATTTTATAAAAATACAACTAATTTATTGGAAAAAAAATTAGAATGTTAGTTTTGAAATAATTAAATATACATTATGTCCAATTGCACATGTAAACTTATAAATACCCGAATAGAAAAAACTTAAAAATACAGAGTGCAAAATTAAAAAAACAAAGTATCCTTTTTTTTGTTAATTCTTGACTCATTAAATTTTACAATTACAAAGATACAAATTAAAAATTTATAATAATACATTCAAGCAAAAATACAATAACTAAAGTAATTGATGAAATAAATTTAAAAGGTAGGAAAAGTTGATATACCTTCCCAAATGAAGAAGGTAAAGATACCTCTTCAAAATTGAAGAAGGTATAATGCCTCCTTATTTACCTCTCCCATTAGAGAATGATTTTTAATGAAAAGAGGTATATATCACAATTATTCCTCTTTATCTTTTCATATATAGAAATCACCCTAAATATGAGTAAAACATAGAAAAAAGTACCAAAATAGGACTTTCATGTTTTTTCCCCGAAATAGGACTTTGCACTGTGATAATGTGACTTTGCACTGTGGTAATGTGACAGTGTACATGTGCACATTACTATACTTTTTTGGTAATGTATATGACCATGTTTGGTAATGTAAGTCCTATTTTAGAAATAAAAAATGAGAGTCTTATTTTGGTATAATCTCAATGTTTAAAGTCCTACTTTGGTCTTTCTTGCAGTCTAAGGGGGGAGTAAATGGAAAGGTATTTTACTTTCTTCAATTTTGAAAAGATATCTTTACTCTCTCAACACAAAAGAGATAAAATGATTTGGTAAATAAACAAAATATCTTTTTAATTTACCTCCTCCCTTTATAGATGTTTTTACTTTTTAGTAAGAGGCCGGTTTTAGAGTCACTGGAATCCAGTGGCTACAGAAGCAACTGCCTCCTTACGGAGCTCCGTTCATGAAATTGATGATTTTTGTCCCCCTAACTCCTCAGTAAACTCCTTTGCTAAGTCTCGACCCAAACTACTACCCCACTTACATTAATTACACCTCGCAAGTATAATTGACTTTAAAGACTTGGCCGGAGGTTTAGAAGGAGGGTTAGGGGGTAAGACTTGGCTCTTAGGGAAGCTTGCGTGTGCCGGCGAAGCAGACATCAATATTCAATAACCCCCTCCCTCCGGCGAAACAGAAGAAGTCTAGCTTCAACCATGGCAGAGAGTAGTCTACTGCATCTCCTAGCTTTCACACTCTACTGTACAGTTCCGTCCGTATTTTCCCAAAACAACTGGTCCCCCTCCGAGTGGCGTCCGGCCAGCGCCACCTACTACGCGCCGGCGAATCCCGGCGACGCTGTGGGCGGTGCCTGCGGATACGGGGATCTGGAGAAAGGCGGCTACGGCAAGGCCACAGCCGGACTGAGCACGGTTCTGTTCGAGAGGGGCCAGATCTGCGGCGCCTGCTACGAGGTGAAGTGCGCCGATGACCTCCGGTGGTGCATCCCGGGGACTTCCGTCATCGTTACCGCTACCAATTTCTGCCCTCCCAACTATAACTTCGACCCTGACGCCGGCGGCCACTGCAATCCTCCCAAGGCCCATTTTGTCCTTCCCATTGAAGCCTTTGGGGGAATCGCTCTCTGGAAAGCTTCCAATATTCCCATCAAGTACCGAAGGTTCGTTAACATCGGGATCTTTTTAGCACCACAAACTTTTATTGTACCTACATTAACGGTCTGTGTAGTCTGTGCAAAGTTTGAGGTCATGGTTGGGGTCGCCTTTTGGGGTTACCGTAGCTTTATTGATAAACTTTTGGTTACAGAATGAGGTGCAGAAGGGAAGGAGGAGTGAGATTCACAGTGAATGGCGCGGGGATATTCATTTCTGTGCTGGTCCGGAATGTTGGAGGCGCGGGGGACATAGTGGAGGTGAAAGTAAAGGGTTCTAGAACAGGGTGGCTTCAGATGGGTAGGATTTGGGGGCAGAATTGGCACGTCAACGCAAACTTGAGGAACCAACCTCTCTCGTTCGAGATCACGAGTAGTGATCGCGTCACCCTCACATCTTACAATGTTGCTCCCAAGAACTGGAACTTTGAGCAGACCTTTGAAGGCAAACAGTTTGATGCTTAGAAGAAATCAAAAGGGTTTGCATCTGTTGATGGACTTGCAAAGCTGAAATGTTTTTTGATGGTGGTAGTTTGTACACATTTGCAGTTACTTATGGTTTATCTTTCTTCAGTCTTCTTGTTTCTAATGATATTTCTGATTCTCAAGTAGTAGAATTACTAATGTTAGATGCTAATCAACCAATGTGTTCATAGTGTGTGTGTTGGGTCCAAATAGAGAGATGACAAATGCAGAAATAGAACTAACCAACCATAGAAACAGAGGCTTAAAAGTTAGAATGTATTTCAGATTGAAAGAAGAAAAAACATTTATGATACAACTTAAAACCAAGGAAAGAAAATGGCATTACAGTTCATCACCAACAATTGAACAATGTTGTTGTACACTCTCCATCCCCAAGCACATTACTCATTCGCTATAACGTGTAAACTATCGTCCCAAAACTTTGCTATTGAATTAATCGAATCCGGGAGGAGCACCGGGAGATGAATGAATAAAAGGGATCAAAAACACAACAACCAATCCAAACCATCATATCAGCTTCTGGTTAGATTCTATAACCAATTCATTTAGCATGATCTGAACGGCCGCGTCATAGACAATCCCATTGTAATGCATACCATCCTCCGTGCACCGGGCCCCACAGCGATCACTCAGACGATGAATATCCAACAGGAAAAATGGCCCGCCGTATTGTAACAGCAGCTTACTCCTATACACCTCATCACAATATGCTTGCGATTGAGCATCGCCCATCTTCTCCCTCTTTTCTTCTGTGTTCAGCTTCGAATTCACCAGCTTTGGCAAACCGACCCAAAACAGACGAGGCGACCTCCCATTGCCTGAAACAGATCCCGGGTAAACGGGCAATGACATCACCAGTGAATCCCTCAGAAGCTTGAGGGAGACGCCGTAATCTGATGCGTCATTCACGTGTAGCATATCCCATAGCCCAGACCCCATCACCAGCAAGTCAGGGAACTTCTTGTTATCCTTCAAACCAAACACCAGATTGGTCAAGTTACTCACATATGGTGCCCATCTGTAATCCAGATTCACCCCAATCTTATCCAACCCGATTGTGTAATCGCCGTGCCTCTTGAACAGATCCCCTCTGATCAATTCCGTCTCATTTGACCCCAGCAACAATTCCAACAGCGAAACCACCAGCAACCTCGCCTGTGAATCTCCGGCGACAACGACCCACGACCCGTTTAGCAAATCCGAGACGTCTTGTCTTCTCAATTTCTGGAATTCGCACCGATCCGCAAGCCCGGACTTTGCCCAACCCCAAGATTCGTTGCTGAAAGCGACTTGATGGAGGGAAGAAATGCAAGAACGGGGATTGATTGATTCTGAAGATGAGTGGGGAGGAGGGAAACCCGGGGAGGGAAGGAAAGAGGGGATCGACGGGAAGTAAGGGGTCAGGTGAACGCCGACGGAGAGGGTGATGAAGAGGGCGCAGCTGAAGAAGAGCATCTTGTTGCGGCTCAAATGCCAGCCGGCCATACCCAGTGGAACGAAGAGGACCACGCAGGCCGCCATTATTCCAATTTGGACTGCTCCGAACATGATATGGTTTTCCTCGTTGAGAATTTTAGCGGGTTTTTGGGTATCCTGCGAGCATTTCGACTGGTGTCTCCGGATTTGGGTCGGGGGTCATAAACATCGGGTTTGTGGATTAATGAACGGAGTACTCCGTGAGAGGGAGTACGGGCATCGAGAAAGAAATCGGGGTGAATCTGTGGGGATGATAAGTTATATTTGCAGTAAATAGCATTAAAACTTAAGTTATTAAATCAATCTAAATAGTACTAAAATATAGAGAAAAGTATTAAAATAGGACTTTCATGTTTTTTTTCCCGCAATAGGACTTTGCACTGTGGTAATGTGACTTTGCATTGTGGTAATGCGGCAGTGTACATCTGCAAATTACTATACTTTTTTGGTAATGTATATGACCATGTTTGGTAATGTAAGTCCTATTTCGGGAATAAAAAGATGGAAATCCTATTTTAGTATATTTTCAATTTTTTAGTCCTAGTTTGGTCTTTCTCCCTTTTCTTAAATAGCATTTAAATTATTTTATTTTTTAAATAGCACTTAATAATGTTCATAATGTCCAGTGATGACAAATATTTACTTGAATAATGACTAATGCATAATGACTAAAAGTGCTACATTAGGAAGAAAAACACATGTGGTGCTATTTAGAGAAAGTCATTATGTTTTAGTGCTATTTAAATATATGCCTAGTGAGTCATTGTTCTTAAAAATATATTTCGAGACATTCGAAAATATGTGAAAAATTAATTTCAGAGGAACTTTACATCCATCCCACTATAGACGGAAAGTTCCTATGGAGTTAGTTTTCACATACTCTAAGGTACCTCAGACTAATTAATACTATATTTAAAAAAGGGAAATTCTTCATTGCATTTCCCCCGACTAAACATTTTAGCAACAAAATGTAATAGCTAAAGCTTAAAATAGTAAGTGCCGTGTATAAGATAATTTCATAATTATTTACTCTCTTACTTTTCTTTTATAGTTATTATTAATTATTAAGGTACCGCTTAATAATAATAATAATAATAATAATAATAATAATAATAATAATAATAATAATAATAAATGTTATAATAGTAATAGATAAGGTAACATGTGAAACATTAATTATAATATGGTACCGTGTAATAATAATAAACGTAATAATAATTATTGGTATTATAAATGTAAGCCTCAATAAAATAATTCTATTAACATGAAGAGGAGGTTTTATACAGAGAGTTGCAACTCACCTAAACTACAATTATGGGAGCCGCTGCTATACATGTGGAGAGGACCTATTCTAATGCTAAATAAGAGGGATAACACTGCAACAACAATTTGAATATTCAAAATAATGTTTGACTAAGTATTATCCTTAACACGCCCCCACAAGATGGAGGATCCGTCAGAGACTCCAATCTTGGACCGAAACCGTTGAAATAACGTAGTACCCAAGGGTTTAGTGAGGAGATCTGCGGGCTGGTCATGCGACGAGATATGACGCACAAGTAGGCGGTTGGCAGCAACGAGATCACGAACAAAGAAATAGTCGAGAGCCAGGTGTTTCATGCGTGAATGAAACACAAGATTTTTGCAGACATAGGTAGCGCCAAGATTATCGCAATACAATATGGGTGGGCGATGAACTGCTACACCAAGCTCACGGAGCAAATTCTGTAACCACAATGTTTCGGCAGTAGCGCGAGCAAGAGCCCGATACTCAGCTTCGGTGGATGAACGAGAGACCGTTTTCTGCCTAGCCGACTTCCACGAGACCGGATTAGAGCCCAGGTAAACCACATAAGCAGTGGTGGACCTACCACCATCATGAATACCACCCCAATCAGAATCAGAAAAGACAGTAAGCTGCAGCGGAACCTTAGCACGTAGAAGTAGACCATGAGAAAGCGTACCACTCAAATACCGAAGAACCCGTTTTGCAGCCTGCCAATGAGTGACGGTAGGGGCGTGCATGAACTGAGACAACTTATTTACGGCAAAACACACATCCGGACAAGTAAGCGATAGATACTGCAGGGAACCAAGTAGCTTGCGAAAAGCCGTGGAGTCAGCCGAAGGAGATCCATCATGAAGCCGCAAGGAAGATGTCGAGGACAAGGGAGTGCTAACAGAGTTTGCATCCGCCATATTATGCTCAGTCAAAATATTGTAGATATACTGCCGCTGAGACAAGAAAACCCCCCCACGAACAGGAATAACCTCCACACCCAAAAAATGGTGAAGCGAGCCAAGATCTTTGAGAGAGAAGCGACGAGATAGCTCACGAACAAATGCATCAAGGGAAGCTGGAGAATTACCTGTGACAACAATATCATCCACATAGACCAAAAAATATAATCGAACGGCACCCTGTGCAAAAATAAAGAGAGATGCATCTGCCCGAGATTTACGAAAACCAAACCCCGTCAAAAAGCTAGCCAACTCTAAATACCAAGCTCGAGGAGCTTGTTTTAGACCATAAAGTGCCTTACGAAGCTTGCACACATAGTCCAGATGCGCGGTATCCTTGTAACCAGAGGGTTGTTCCATGTAGACCTCTTCACGGAGAGTGCCATTGAGAAAAGCATTATTTACATCCAATTGACGAAGAGGCCAATCAAACTGTAACGCAAGGGTAAGGATGAGCCGGATGGTGACGGGCTTAGTGACCGGACTGAAGGTCTCATAGTAATCACGACCCGGTTGTTGAAGGAACCCCTTGGCGACCAAGCGTGCCTTATACCGATCAATACTCCCATCCAGCTTACGTTTGAGACGAAACACCCACTTACATTGAATCGGTCGCCGATGGTTGCGAGGAACAAGCTCCCATGTGTTATTTCGCTGCAACGCCAAGTATTCCTCATCCATAGCCGCCTTCCAGTGTGCATCCTTGCGCGCCTGCATATAAGTAAGTGGAGCATCCGCTGCAACAGAGGAAATGTGGTTAACAAGATGATCGTTAAAGTAACGAGAATTTAACCATCGCTCACGAACCGGTCGATGCGGGATAGGAGAAACATTGGACGGGGAGGAAGACGCAGACCCGGAAGACAGGGAGGGAAGAGAGGTCGACGCTGGACTGGAATGAGAGATGGCAGGCGTGGGTACTGGAACAGACAGGGGAGTTGGCGTGTGATTTGTGGGAGTGGGGTTTTCATGAGACAGGATGGGCATATGGGAAATAGGCGTGGGTGGATTTTGCATGGGGGTAGTATGGGATAATGGGGGGACAGTGCATGGCTTTGAAGGAGGCAACATGGGCATAGGCGTATGGTGAGAGGCTGGGCGAGAGGGGACCGAAGGGGGAACAGTGGCATAGGGAAATATATGTGGGTAAAACTTGACATGCCGAGAAATATAGACCTTTCCCCCCATATAGTCATAACATTTGTATGCAGATTGAGAATTACAATACCCAAGAAAGAGACATGGGGTAGAGCGGGGAGATAACTTGGTGGAGTGGTAGGGTCGGAGCCATGGGTAACACAAACACCCAAACGGTTTTAATTTACTATAATCGGGAGGTTTAGAAAATAGAGTTTGATGAGGAGAACGATGAGAGAGTATGGGAGTGGGTAGACGATTAATAAGATAAATGGCTGTATGAAAAGCATAGGACCAAAAAAAGAGTGGAAGACCAGCGGTATGAAGCAACGACAGCCCAGTTTCGACAATGTGTCGATGCCGACGCTCTGCCGTACCATTTTGTTCAGGTGTGTGGGGCGGAGTGGTGAAATGGGAGATTCCATGAGTATTGAATAACGGGACTAATTTTAGAAATTCACCACCATTGTCTGAGAAAACACATTTAATGGAACGCTGAAAGTGATTTTCAACCAACCGTTTAAACTGGGGAAAAATCACAGAAACATCAGACTTATGTTTGAGCGGATACCACCATGTATATTTGGTATAATGATCAACAAATATAACATAATAATAAAAGCCATCCGCGACCCAAGATTTTATTATTTGGGTGACCCATACGATGATGAAGGTCCGCGACGGAGGAGGCAGCCACAGCGGCAGTGTTCACGCACGGACCTGACGGACTTGGAAGATAACATAAATTATTTTTGATTGCTCCCCGAAGCAGAGGCATCCCCGTATGCACATCCTTGACAAAAAAATGGTCAGAAAAGAATTCAACCGAAACACGATTAGTACGACATAATTGAGAAACAGACAAAAGATTATTTTGAAGAGCAGGAACACACAAGACATTAGATAGGGTGAGGGAACGGGAGGGTGTAGATAAACTAGATCGACCAGTGTGAGAGATGGTTAAAGTCTTACCATTACCCAAACGAATTTCATCCGGTCCGCCATATTCCATGAGAGTGTTGAGCGAATTTGGATCATTTGCAACGTGATGAGACGCACCACTGTCAACAATCCATTGAGTGTGACATGAGCGGCGGGGTTGTTGATATTGGGAGCGACAATGGTGACATTGTTCTCTTTTAGGAACCGCTGGAGTTTGCGACAAAACCGTGTGTCATGACTGGCAAGATCACAAAACCGACAGTAACGACCACCACGATTGCCGCCGGGAGGAGAACCTCGACCATGATGACCCCCACGGGTCTGACCAAAACCACCGGCCCGATGAGGAGCACCACCACGATCACCACGATCACTACGAGCACGTTGCGCATGATTTGCGGTTGGCACAAGGTCAGCCGTAGCAGAGTGACGCTCATGAAGATGACGCTCGCAATCCTCCAAAATAGTAGTGAGTTCTTCGATAGAAACACAATCATTGCGGCCTCGCAAGGATTGATAGATAGTAGAATATTCGTCGCCAAGTTGGGACATGATGTGCACCGCTAGATCCTCATCCGATACGGGGCTGTCAGCAAGGGCTAATTCCCCAGCAATCTCCGTCATATCAGCGACAAACGCTGCAATGGTACGGCTTCCACGAGGATTCTTCGCCAACTTGGCTTTGAGAGAAATAATGCGTCCCCGGGACATGCTAGCGAGGCTCCGAGTCAGTCTTGACCAGGCGTCGGCGGAGGTGTCGGCAAGCGAAATTAGAGATTGCACAGCATCGGTGCAACTCCCTAGAAGAGCACCAAGGAGTATAGCGTCCTGGCGGTACCAAAGGGTATACGCAGGGTTGGGTTTCGAGTGAGCCGTGTCCAAGAAGGGACACGGAGCTTTGACGGAGCCATCGACATAGCCAAGGAGATTCAAACCAACGAGGGTGGTTTGAACCTGACGACGCCAAACAAGGAAGTTCGTCTTGGTTAGCTTTATCGGAAAATGTTTGGAAGCGGACATGCGAACCAGATCTGGTGAGGACGAAGAGCTAGAGTCCATGATGATGATGAAAAAAAAAAAAACTGAGATGGGCAGTGACGGAGGAAAGATCACGCACCAGGAAAAAAATCTGTTTAAAGGTGGGGCTCTGATACCATATAAATGTAAGCCTCAATAAAATAATTCTATTAACATGAAGAGGAGGTTTTATACAGAGAGTTGCAACTCACCTAAACTACAATTATGGGAGCCGCTGCTATACATGTGGAGAGGACCTATTCTAATGCTAAATAAGAGGGATAACACTGCAACAACAATTTGAATATTCAAAATAATGTTTGACTAAGTATTATCCTTAACAGGTATCGTGTATAATAAAAAGGTAACATGTAAAACTTATATTATTAATTATTAATAAAGTAATTATTTTACACCTTATAATCTTGGTACCATATAATAAAAAAGATAACATGTGAAACTTTAATTATTAAACATTAGTAAGGTAATTTCGTACCTTACAATTTTTGGTACGATGTATAATAAAAAAGGTAACATATGAATGAATAATAAAAATAATATGGTACCGTATAATAATAATAATAATAATAATAATAATAATAATAATAATAATAATAATAAACATAATAATTTTAATAAAGGTAAGTTAGTTTTGTAATATTACTGTGTATAAAATAAATGAAAGTGTTGACTTGGTCTAAAAAATGTATTCTCATAGCTTATATTTTTTTACCAAAATTATGAATTATAAAATTAATTATTAATTATTAATAAGGTAATTTCATACCTTATAATTTTCGGTATCGTGTAATAAAAAGTAAAATGTGAACTTTAATTATTAATTATTAATAAGGTGTTTCAAAAAAATATATTAATAAGCTAATTTCATACTCCGTACCTTATAATTTTTCATACCGTGTATAATAAAAAAGGTAACGTGTGAAAGAATAATAATAATAATAATATGATACCATATACTACTAATAATCATAATAATAAACACAGTAATAATAATAAAGGTAAGTTAGTTTTGTGCTATTACCTTGTATAAAATAAATAAAAGTTTTGACTTAAGAGAAAAATGTACTCTCGTACCCTATATTTTTTTAAAAAAATATTATAAATCATAAAATTAATTATTAGTTATTAATTATTAATATGGTAATTTCATACCTTATATTTTTTTGGTACCATGTAATAAAAAAGATAACATATGAAACTTTAATTATTAATTATTAATAAGGTAATTTCATATCATATAAATTTGGGTTCCGTGTATGATAAAAAAAGTAACATGTGAATAATAATAACAAGGTAATATTATGCTACCACATAATAATAATAATAATAATAATAATAATAAACATAGTAGTTATTATTATTATTATTATTGTTATTATTATTATTATTATAAAGGGAAGTTAGTTTTGTGCTATTACCATGTATAAAATAAATGAAAGTGTTTGGCTGGATTTAAAAAATGTGTTCTCATACGTTACATTTTTTACCAAAATTATAAATAATAAAATTAATTATTAATTATTAATAAATTAATTTCATACCTTATAATTTTTGGTACCGTGTAATAAAAAAGGTAACATATTAAGGAAATAATATAGTGTCGTATACTAATAATAATCATAATAATAAACATAATAATAATAATAATAATAAAGGTAAGTTAGTTTTGTGATATTACCATGTATAAAATAAATGAAAGTGTTGACTTGGTTTAAAAAAAATATTCTCATACCTTATACGGAGTATTTTTTACCAAAACTATAAACTATAAGATTAATTATTAATTATTAATAAGGTAATTTCACATCTTATATTTTTGGTACCGTGTAATAAAAAACGTAATATATGAAACTTTAATTATTAATTATTAGTTATTGGCCGGCATGGTATAACAAAACACCATTGTTGGCATGGTATTACCAGAAAATGCCAGTTGTTTTCGTCGATTTAGTTTTCACGTAAAAGTACTTTGGTATATTTATTTATGCTTTTTATACACTATGTTTATTAAAAATGAATGAATAATAATACTATATGGAAATAATATGGTCGTGTATACTAATAATAATCATAATAATAAACTAATAATAATAATAAAGGTAAGTTAGTTTTGTGATATTACCATGTATAAAATAGATGAAAGTGTTGACTTGTTTTAAAAAAAATATTCTCATACCTTAAATTTTTTTACCAAAACTATAAATTATGAAATTAATTATTAATTATTAATAAGGTAATTTCATACCTTATATTTTTTGGTACCGTGTAATAAAAACGTAACATGTGAAACTTTAATTATTAATTATTAGTTATTGGCATGGTATAATAAAATACCATTGTTGGCATGGTATTACTAGAAAAGACCCGCTGTTTTCGTCGATTTAGTTTTCACGTAAAAGTACTTTTGTATATTTATTTATGTTTTTTATACACTATGTTTATTAAAAATGAATAATTAATATGAAATAAATGGTTCTTGATCTTAGTTTATAAAAATAAATAATTAAAATGCAAGAAATCAAAGAAATACTTATTAAAATAAGTTTATATTTCATAAACTAAAAAACGAATGATCTTTCAAAATAGAATGAATGACAACAAAATAATAGTTCAAATACTTTGTAGGTTTTTTAAGAATTATTTACACTAAATAGCACTAAAACTAAAGTCATTTTCTTAAATATCACTTAAACTGTTTTATTCTTTAAATAACACTTAATAATGTCCAGTGATGACGAATATTTACTTCAATAATGACTAATGGATAATGACTAAAAATGATACATTTGGAAAAAAGCACATGTGATGCTGTTTAAAAAAGTCATTATTTTTAGTGCTACTCATGTAAATTCCTCGTTTTTTAATTTATCTAAAAAAAATAAAAACTTAAAAGAAGTATAGTTCCCAGTTCACACAGAATAAAACTTGAACTCAATTTTGAAAATAAACTTATTTCGTATTACTTAATGAATAAGTAAAATAAAAGGATCATGCTACATTTACACCAAATTTTGTACCCCATATGTACACCGCAGTTATACACAAACATTCTGACGGTTTACACCGACACAAATATTGGTGCGTTAACAAAAATATACACGGACACAAAGTGTTGGTGCGTTAAGAAAAATTAGTTTTACACCAACACAAAATGTTGGTGTAAAACTGCGGGGTACAAATTGGGGTACAAAAGTTTAGGGTACAAGTATCTTTATCCAAAATAAAAATACTTTAGTTACACCAATGTGTACCCCAAAAATGCCATGTACTTCAACCCCCTCTCCACCTAATGGTAGCACTCATGTGGTGGCACCCTAGCATTTTCCCTAATGGTTTAGGTGTGATTGTGCGAATAAAAACATATAAGTGTGTATAAGAATTGTATGGATGGAATAGTGTGTACCCTTAACATTGGTTTTATTTACAATATATAACTCTGTAATATATATATATATATATATATATATATATATATATATATATATATATATATATATATATATATATATATATATATATATATATATATATATGGTTTAGGATTTTCGGCGAAGGAACATTGAGAAGTTATCTCGCACCGTTTTCAAATACCAAATCAATTATTTGGTTAGGAATTGGTTTGGTTTTGTGCATTATTTTTTCCGGATCAATACTTTTCCATTTAGTTTTTCTGATTTTTTAGATTGTTAGAGATCGATTCGTGACTACCTCTACTAATATTTTTAATAATCAACCAAAACATCCAATTGTTAAATCTATCATTTATTCAAAAAGTTGACACAAACAAACAACAACCAACAATTAAAAGCTAAGATCTAAGACTAACCACAATGCTACTTGAGACTTTGGGGTTCTAAAGTATTAAAATACTTATTATATCATCAAAACAAAAATCCTTATCCCCCAAGGAAAGGATGATATTTACGCAGTATTTGAATAATTTAAATTTGTTTTGGGGCCTAACTAAACACATTAGGTGCAAAGCTTGTTGCACGTTTGACTTTCATTTTGAGGTACTCTCTCCATTCCTTTAAACCCTTCTCGTTTTGACTTTGGGCCAAAATAAAGAAAGTGTAATTTTGGTTGACTTTACAAGTTTGCCCTGATGTGATGGATAAAAGTAAGGTGTGATAGTTTGGTTATTTGTGAAAAAGTATGATGTGATAAGTAGAATATGAAAAAGTAGGAATAAAAGTGATTTTTTAATAGAAAGTGGAAATGTTTTAAGGAATTAGAAAAAAAACGAAAGGGTGTTAGAATATAAATAACTGTTCTTGGGCCACAACCACAAGCTTGAGCTTTTGGTTGAATCGGTTCCTTGACATCGTATCGGAGCCTAGTTGACTAAGAGATCACAGGTTCGAAACTCAGCACCACCCAGTTTAAAAAAATTAAGGTTTCACGCACAAGGCTTGAAAAAGACCACGCTTGCACGTGAGGAAGCGTGTTAGAATATAAATAACTGTTCCCGGGCCACAACCACAAGCTTGAGCTTTTGGTTGAATCGGTTTCTTGACAAAGGAGAAGGGTTTTATGGAACGTAGGGAGTATTAGACAGTCACATTCTTTTTTAAAGTTCATTTGCTAAGGTAAGAGGAAAAAAAAATACTTCCTCTATCTTAAAATTATCTTTCGATCTAATATTCAAATGGTCAAGTTTTATTCACTTTATTGACTTATTTTTGTTGTCCATATATTTGATAAAGTAATTAAGTAATATAGTCATATCTTCTTTAGTTTTATAGATATTTTAATCTAGTTTTAGATATGCATTTTTTTAATCCAAACTGTTTTTTTATATATAATAATTTGAGTCAAAAAATTCTTTGGACGAAAGAAATACTACGTAATAAAAAATCAAATGGATCCTCTACTAGTATGATTCCAAATGTGGGATTTCTCCCGCTCAATTATTTTTTCTCTCAACATTTCTCTCTTTTTTATTACTCTATATCACGAAGTGTTCTTTTTTTTTTAAGCAAACTTAATATTAATTCATGAGATTAGGCAAAATAAAGTCCGGTGGGGAGGAAATCCATACACCACATGAAATCTCCGCCTTCCTAGCCAAAGAATAAGCAATAATATTTTTTGAACGGGAAATAAACAGAAAATTAATAACATTAAACTCCAAGCCTAACAACCGACAATCCTCAATAAGCGAGCCAAAGTAGGATAGAGACGTAAAAGAGCTGTCCTTAACGGCCTGAACCACCCTTTGACAATCCGAGAAGAGGTCCACATCCACTACTCCTCTAGCCTTCAACCACGACAGGGCCTCTCGGACGGCCATTACTTCCGCCAATAAAGGATCCGAGGGACATCTCAACATACCATTAGAGGCACCATAAAACTTTCCAGCAGGATCAAAAGCTACACAACCAAACGCCAGACCACCTGATTGAATCTCCATTCCTGAGGATCCTCAATGCTGGTCGGACAGTTAGCTGAGAAAAAATAAAGGAAAAATTATCCAAAATAATCCCAACTTTACCCAGTCTTTCAAAAATAATCCCACCTTTCAGTGTGATGCATAATAATCCGAACTTTACTGAATTTTGCGAGTTTTGGGTCACCGTTAAGTTTCTAACGGAGGGTTAACGGAAATGCCTGTTTTGGGCAACAAAACGAAAGTTGGGATTATTTTTGATGAATTTTCACTTTTTTATTTTTTTTTTGAATTTTTCATTTAAATTTTTAAAATTACTTTCTACCTCCATCATCATTTCTTTTTCCTTTTTTAAAGATTAGTCTTAGCTTAAAAAAATAAAAATAATAGATATAAAAAATAAAAAATGAGAAATGTAACTAAAATGATACAAAAATAATAAAATAAATAATGTAATCAATAGAAACTAACTTGAAATTGGTAATAAATAAAATAAAAATATACGGGTGGGTTTTAATATTTTACGCACTATACAAAGTATTAACGTATCACTTTTTATTTTTCAGAAAAAATTATCTACAATAACTCCAACTTACCGGACGGCTTGTTCTTTTAAAAAATAAGTAGTACATTAAGAGTCCGTATAGTGTGTAAAATGTTAAAACCCACTACTCCGTATATATTTATTTTATTTCTTACCAGTTTATGTTTAATTTCTATTGATTACATTATTTATTTCATTAATTTTGTATGGTTTTAGTTATTTTTCTCATTTTCATTGTTTTTTATATCTTTTTTTATTTTTTCTAAGGTAAGAATAATCTTTAAAAAAGAAAAAGAAATGGATGTTGAAAGTAATTCCAAAAATTTAAATAAAAATTTCAAAAAAATTTAAAAACAAAAATTAATCAAAAATAATACCAACTTTCATTTTGTTGCCTAAAACAGACATTTCCGTTAACCCCCGTTAGAAATTTAACGGGGACCCAAAACTCGCAAATTTCATTAAAGTTGGGATTATTATGCATCACAGTGAAAGGTGTGATTATTTTTGAAAGACCGGGTAAAGTTGGGATTATTTTGGGTAAGTTTTCCAAAAATAAATTGAGTTATAATATGAGACACTTGGCATATGGGTGTGGTTTTGTATATGGTACTTTGATATCTCTCATGCTTCGCATGGTTACGTTGCCCTCATCGCAGCCACCAGGCCAGGCTTCAAATTCAGGATCTCTCCCTTATAGCACTATCCTGCCAATTCAACCTTTGAGCTACGCTTCACCAGCATGAAACTTTAGAGATAAACTTTTTATACCATCCGACCTACCGCATTGGGGTCACACCACATGATGGAATTAAGCCTTTTTGTTGGTAGGGTGACTCGATCTCAAGACCTCCCCCCCCCACCCCCACAAGGAGAGAATCTTAGTTGTGGAGTGGTTGCTATTACATGTTATAAGAGTTGAACGACTTTATTTTTAATTTAATTTAATTTATTGTAGGTGTGAGATTTAAAATTACAATTTATGTAGTCCATATTTAAAATCTACATAAAAAAGTATACAAAACAAGAAGTGACATGACTATATTTTATTTTCAAATTAATAGTGAAAATAATAAAACAAAATGAATAAAGTTTAGATATGATTTCCGAATGGAGGGAGAGTTTTTTAAAGATTAGATATGATTTTAGTCCTTGTAAAACAGACAAGTTTTTTTGGTCCTTGTAATTTTTTTTGCTTCAAATCATCTTTATAATTTTTTTATTTTGAAAATAGTCCTCAACCATAATTAATAGTTCTTAATTAGTTGAGATAACTCATTTATTTCATACTTAATGTCCTAGTCTATCTGTCATTTCCAATTGTTTCCGACCTAATTCTCATGCCTTAATTTATGTCTTTCATTGACTTAAATTCCCAATTTTCAAATTTTATTATAGAGTAAATTCTCTAAATAGTTATTTATAACTGTGAGCTTTCCATATTTAGTTTATATTTATCAAATATTATGTTAACTGCCTTTATCCGTCTATTTTCGAGTCTCACTCCCATTAAATAAGGACAAAATGTGGAATGGTATCCAATGAATAAGGACAACAAACATAATATCTGACAAATATCAATACCCCTCAGTTATAAAGGATAATTTAGAGAATTTATTCCTTTTAAACCACTTTTTATAATGCTCCAAAATATGGCCTAAAAGTATTTTTTAAACTATATTTTGATCCAACAATGTACGAATTCTGTGTTCGACAAAAATGAAGGAATTTTTTCAGGTTGATGATCTTTTGCTAAAATTGGATTTTTTTGATACGTCTCGAAGAGACAAATTAAACGATATGTTTTATGAACAAATCTAATTTATTGCATGAACAAAACGATGTGTTTGATGAATAAGAAAATTGCATGGAAACTCTTTGCCATCGCTCCAATCGTCAACACTCAGGAAAAAACTCAGCAAATGTAATTTCAAGCTCGTTCGTCATGCAGCAAAGATTTGACTTTCTACTTCTAGAGATTATCATCACAAAACTGATTTTGTCAGCTCAATTTTAGCACATTTGCTCCAAGCTGCTTCTCGTTACCGATGATCAGCTTGCATGGGGTATTAGGAATATTAGATAATAGGAAATAAATATTATATTTTATCACTTTCTTTATTTTATTATTTTCCTTGTTGTATTGTTACTGATGGAAAATATTATTTGGCCGAGACATCTAAGTCCGAATTTCCCAATTAATATTACCGTAACTATCATCACCAAACACTGGCCACAAATTACTCCTCCTACCTTAATTATACATCCTCATAATCAAACTCACTTTCCTAAATTACATCCACCTTTTACTCATTACTATAAGTACCTTCACCCATCAATCCCTACCATAATTACTCCCACCATTCACTCCCCTACCCTATTAATCTCCATAACTACTCCCTCATATCTCACTATAAAAGAAACCCTTCACCTTCAGTATGGGGGACCAAGCTCATAAAACTAGTATACACTCTCACATTACTTAGAAAATACTCGGATTATTTATTTTTATAGAGCTAAAACGCTCCATCAATGGTTGTAATTTCAAGATTATGTACTATGTACTACCCGTGATATTAATAAAATCCCTCCGTTGGCATGGTACCGCCGGAAAAGGCCCGTGATTTTCTCCTGATTTGGGTTTCCACACCAAAAATAGCTTGTTCATATTTTTTGTGATTTTTAGACTCGTTTATCATTTTGACACAGTAAAAATGATAAAACCAGTCGTGGGACCAATTAAGTTCGGTCATACAAAGATCGATGATCGAGCCGTGCAAAGTCCATGAAAATCCCACTACAATCTTGGGAAGTATATTCTCAAAAAAGTGATCTTTTAGAATATTTATCCTAAAATATCCAAGAAGTTTAGACAGAATCTTGTTAGAGTGCATCCCACATCGGAAGTCCAAGAGTAAAATAATATAGTATATAAGTTCTTGAATTAAACTAACTAATCGATTGCATTCAATCTTTTAATGTGGTTCAACCCAAGTGTCTTATTACCCAAACGAGTTGTCCATACCCATTCCAAATTCTATCATGGAATCGGAGTAGGTTTTGGCCCACCTCATTTGTCAAGGTGTCCGTCTAGATGTTCATTCCTAGCGACCAGCTAGTCTTTAGCTCAGTTGTCCGTATGAAGTATGTACCCAATGGCTTGTGATCTATTTAACAGGATTACTCGTCTGGAAGTCCATACCCAACAGCTCATGGTCCTTTAGGTGTTGGCGATAAAAACAATATCAAGGGAATGGGAGTTCATTTGCAAGTGGTCAACCAGTTAGATTCAAAATGGCCCGGTTGTCCACTTGAGGGGGAGTGTTAGAGTGCATCCCACATCGAAAGTCCAAGAGTAAAATAATCCGGTATATAAGCTCTTGAGTTAAACTAACTAATCGATTGAATTCGGTCTTTTAATGTGGTTCAACCGAAGTGTATTATTACCCAAACGAGTTGTCCATACCCATTCCAATACAATCAACCACATAAGAGATCCATTTACATAAAATCCTCTCTCTCTCTCTCTCAAAATAAAAGGTCAAACTCATCTATACTGTTGAGGCATGTTTCCCGATGTCACTGGAAGCCTGCTTCCATGCCATGTCGATGTAGTCTGAATTCACTAAATGAAATATAGTGATGCTGACAAGACAAATCGATTGACTTAGTTGATGTGAAAGATCACAACGTGGTGATAATACAAAACAAGATGTAAAACAGTAACACCAACAGTGAAGGATTGAAGAATGAAGGAAATGTAGTTGCACTGACCATGCAGCTTAGATATCAATCTTGGACGATATGATTTCAACATGAATGCAACTTGGATTACAAGGGAAATATTAGAGATGCAATTCTAAGTCTAGTCTTCTGAGATTCACAAACTCATCGTAACTACCACCAGCTCCCGGGAAAGCTTTAGCAAACTCTAGTTTGTCTAAAAGCTCATCAACAAAGATAGAATAAATAAAAAGTTTTCTCTGACTGAAAGCCATGGAATTCTGCCTCACTGCATCGTCTAAGAATTGGAGAAGGACCATTGGGTCTATTGTGTAACCTTTTAGAAGCCCAGGATATCAAGGTGAACAAACTTTCCATAGTGTCAACTCCTCCGGGAAGAATAATGAAAGCTTCCACAGCATGATTCATCTCAAAATAATTGTAGGTAATTACTGGAAACTGTGTGCTCTACACCGTACGTGGGTCCATAGACCCGTCGTGCTACTATGTACCCAAGAATGAAACCTCTAACAAGACCACCATTAGTAAAGACTGTTGAAGCAATGGCTCCTTGAAGGCCAACACTACCTCCTCTATAAGCAAGTTTAATCTTTCGTCTTATCAATTTCCTTCCTAAATCTACCGTAGTAGCCATAAACTTTGGATTTCTACCAAGAGAATGACTGCCAAGTAGACCAACGAATCTTATGGTGTAAGGAAGTGTTCGAGAAGTTCCTTCCATAATGTGAGAATGTGAGATACTCTTTCCATAATCATGATATATATAGTCTCTGAAACCTGACCATTGATGGAAAGGTAATTATCACCAGCCAAAATACGTATAGTAAAATGGACTCAAAATTGCTTGCATACGACAACGTACTCGCTAATACTATAATCTGCTGACGATATGATGTATTGAGACTCTTGAACAGTTAGATTCGCTGTCTTGAAACACGTTCAAATCCGAGACGAAATGTCAAAACTACTACTCCCTCCGTCCCTCATAAATCTTCTCAATAGCCCTTTTTCTTTGTCCACAATAGATCTTCTCATTTCATTTTTTAACAATTAAAATACCACAACTACCCCCACTTAATTTATTTATTACACCTCACCCACCTCATTTAATACACTCCACCCATTTTTCATTTAGGGTATTATGGTAAACTTTCACCTTTTCTCAACTCTCCTTAAAACCCACCAAAAGTCAAAATGAGAAAATCTTAGGGGGGCGGAGGGAGTATTTCCTAAGACAACGACCTCTTGTGTAATTTCCAAAGAGTGAAACACTGAAGAAAGAAAACTTACGATTAGTAATGGTAATTCGCAAACACTATCTTTGTATCTTGTGAATCATATCCTTGAATTACTCAAACTTGCTGTGTTAACTACACCCTTGAAACATCTCACTTGATCAATCTTGAAAAGATTGAATTCCATTCTTTGTATCAAAATACTAAAACCATGATTCTGTTAGAATAAGTGACCAACGCTAGAGGGGGGGTGAATAGCGTTTGATCGTAGAAATCACAGGAATAAAAATTTAAGAACGTGAAACGTAAAGAGCGTAGAAAGCGTAAAGGGAGCACACCAAGATTTATACTGGTTCACCACAACGTGTGGCTAATCCAGTCTCCCGAGAGACTCTCTCGAGCTACACTACTTCTGTTAAGCTTACGGGTGCTTAACAAACCGTTACAACCTGAGAACTCGAGTCCCACGAGCCTCAACAACACTTGCTCGGAGATACCGCACTCCAACTTCAACCGGAAGGAAAATACCTTTCCTTCGTACAACCAAGGGAAACAAGCTTCTCTAAACGTGTTTACAACACTAAGAACACTCAAGAACAAGACTCTTTTTAAGAATGGATGTTGAGTAAACTATATACGCTCAAGAACAACTCAAACTTCACAAATTGGCTCTAGAAAGCTATGGAAAATAATGTTGTTTGGATGCAATGATAATATGAATATTGTGAAGTGAATTCATGTGTAAAGCAGACCCAAACAACCCTTTTTATAGTGCCAAAATAGGCTCCAACGGACCAATACATTAAAGGGGTGATTGGTTTGATTTATGGGATTGAATAAATTTGGGATTTGCAGGATATTGGCTTCCCATCGATGTTTAGACTCACCCATCGCTGGTAAGCCAAATTTCCTTCAGTTTTGAAGCCAACGGTCACCTACCCATCGATGGGTACAAGCTTCCCATCGCTGGGTGGGAAGTTGACTTCCAAACAAGGAAAGAATCAGCCTTAAATGACTTCCAACGGTTATGTCTTCCCATCGATGGTTAAGCCTTCCCATCGCTGGGTTCCCATCGATGGTTAAAGCTTCCCATCGCTGGGTAAGGGCATTCTGCCTTGTGATAATGTTGGACCAAGGCTTGAACAGCGATGGGTAGAGCTTCCCATCGCTGTTTGGCATGGTTCTGGAATTCAATTGGGCTGAAGGCTGCTTACCCATCGATGGGTAATATCTCCCATCGCTGGGTGAAATGATTCTGGAATCCCAAGATCACTTTCCCATGCATAGGTGAAATCTACCATCGCTGGGTAGATGGCTTAGTCCAGAACCATGGCTTAGCCGACCGGCACTGAAACCCGACCGAAAAATGCAAAGTTCTCCAAAGTAAAAACTAAGTGTTTAAAACACTTATTTAATGTATTTTGATGTCAAAATAAGCTTTGTATGTTGAAAACTATGTCGTTAAGGTAAAAACCACGGATGACCAAGTCAATGCCGTACACGGGTGGTTTTTACCAAAAACAAAACCGAAAGGTGGTTTTCATGATGTTTTGATTGGAGAACCATTTAAATGCATTCAAAAACAATTACTACACAAAAAGACTTGAAAACCACTTCATTTAAGTAAAAACCACGGCTAGCCAAGTTTATGCCGTTCGCATGGTTTTTATCAAACGACAAAAAAACGAAAGGTGGTTTTTGAAGTGTTTTTGATGGAAAACTATTTAAATGTGCCCAGAAGTAAAAATCAATCATAAAAAGTTGAAAACCACTTGTTTAGTTCGGACACCAAAAACCAACGCCGAAAACCGAATGCCGAACGCCGGTTTCTGAAACCCGAACGCCGGATGGCTTGGTTTTTGGTTTGGGCGAACACCAAGTGTTTTTAATGTTTTAAACATGTTTGAAAAACATTTTTATGATGTGAAATGCAATGAAAATAATTTTAGCCTAAAGAGCCAAGGTGTAATGATTGGGTCGGTCTTGATCACAATTGTGACCGACTCAACGACACTAAGACTACGGTCTTCGTTCTTGGTCTTCTTTTGGACCTTGTTCTCTTTCTTATCATCTTTTGTTCTCGCCTTGTATATTCAATGACTTGTCTCGTTCACGGCGGTTTGGCATTATCAAAACCTGTCATAACAACGAACACGGCTTTAGTACGAAAACGTGATAAACCCGTGTTTCAACAGATTCTTCATAAAAACCAAAATAATACTTTGTGATACCATGATACCGGTCTTCAAAAACTATACGTGACTCAATCACAACAGTAAAATTACCCTAACTTGAACTTTATGTTAAACCTCTCTTTAAGAACTACAAAATGGTTGATGCGATTATGTTATCTCTAAAGATTATTATCAATAATCTTATTGACCAAACCAACTCCGTTATGACTTTGGCAAGGGAATGTATGTGTGACAACCAGAAAAGAAATGACGTCACAAGGATCAAACTAAATCATTCAAGCAAAAATCCCGAACCTATATGCGATGTTGGAGTAAGAACTAGTAAGATTCCTTAAGAAATCGTGAATTAAATCCCGAAGATATTCTCTTCTTCCCTTGAAATGAGATCAACCATAACGTTACAGTCAAACTTGTCACTATCATGAACGTATCTTGGTATACTTCCAAAGCGAAGAAGGAAAGTTGAAAACGACAAGGTGTATATCACACGCCACTCGAACGTCAAAACCTATGAATGTGAATTAATGCAAAGACTCATTGACGATAATGAGAATTACTATGAAGTGTGTGAAGAAATGTTTTGACATAAAGATCAATAAATGACGAGCAACGGTACAACCAATCGACAACATTTCCTCGTAAATGATGACAAATCCTATATCTTGAAAATCTTGAACCACTAAAAGACCTTTGACGTACTTGCGAATCCTTGTTGAACTATGTGAACGATATGAAGATATCTTAAAGTGAAATTTACGTTATGATGTGTGCATTGAAAACGAACTCTAAAATCTCCCAGTACATCTATCGCGAACTTGATAATTCGAAACTGCAAAGGCTACTGAAGGACTTTCAATCAAAAGAAGAAATATCGTTAATCGGCGTTGTACAATTGGGAATTGTGGATAAACGAAGTTATGTGCGAGTATGTCAAATATACAATCCTATACGTTGCAAAGAAACCTTAGTTATTGACACTGAAGGATCACTGAATGTCTTGCTTAATCACAGATTGTCAATCTCTTGATGAAAGAACGAGCTTGATAACATCGACAGTTTGAGAATACGTATCCGTGTGGATAATAACGTAATCGTGATTTAATTAATGAACATGACGCGGTCAAGATTGTCGTACATATGACAAGATATCGATTGTGAAACCTTAAAAAAATTTCGAGGACGAAATTCCTTTTAAGGGGGTGGAGAAATGTAACGCCCAAAACATACCCTAGAATTATTAATAGACAATTATTCAAATTAATCAAATTTGTTTTGATTAAAATAAATTGTTGTTGGGCTTTGAGCTGAAATAAAATATATATTACTATCCAATAAACATAATTGGGATAAATCTCATAGAGATGAATCGAACATGTTGACTTATTGTGTGATCTTGATTGGAAATCTGAGTACATACCCAAATTAAGAATAAATGAAAAAATTGTTTCTAATGTGAAATTTGAAATGATTTATTGAAATAAATCATGAGAATAAATAATATGAATAGAAAGTAAGAACATTTTTTTGAGTAAAGGTCAATTAAACAAATTTTGACTCTGTAAAAAGTCAAACACCCAAAAATATGATGTAAGAAAAAGTGTTACAAATAAGTAAGAAAAATATATCGTTGAATAGAGCTCGACTGTCTGATCGCAACGGTGCAAATGGAATTCAATTCGGAGAAAGTTAGACTAAAAAGTGTACCCCAACTGGAACCAAAATTAGTCCCAATCAGGGACTTGCGTTTGAAATCCTACACAATCGTCGTTTGCTCCACTCAGTCGCTGAACAGGAAACAGAGACCTCAGCCATGGCTTCTTCCTCAAATCATCCACTATATAAACACCTCAAAAACTTCATCATTTTTCACCATTCTTCTACCAAAAGAGAGTTGTGAGTGTAGAGAGCATTGTGGTGCTGTCAATTTCGTGAGAAGTCGCCAGAGCAAGCCGTGGTGTCCGCCGGAAGTTTTGCCATTCAATCGCCGAAATCATTGTTTAACTTTGAAATAAGCCCGTAGATATATTTAATGACTAGAATGTTCATATAGGTCGTTTCTACGTTCATAAATGGTCATTTGGTTGAGTTTTGTGTTTGACATGTTTGAAGAATTAAAAATCATAAAACTTGAATTTGATGTTAAAACTATGAATTAGTGATACCAAAATGATCCATGAACATTGAAGAACATTTCTATATAGTTTAATTGAAGTTTGGTGACTAAAATCGAAATTCCTAAAAATAGACCTGAGGAGGAAGACGATGAATAGTGCACGATAACCCACTACCGCCGGCACGGTAGATAGGTATCGTCCAAACAGTACCCACCTACCTCCGGGATGGTAGGGATCTACCGTCGCCACTAAGCTCCTCTGGCGGTACTTGTCCACTGGCGGTACCCCCTACCGCCGACATGGTACCGTGAAGGGTACCGTCTGATCCAATTAATTTCCAGAAAATCTGATTTTTGAACCATAAAATCCTATTTTTGACACTAATCTATTATGATCAATATGAATATAAATTCTGGAAATAAAAATGATGTTTTGACAATTAAAGATCTTACGTGATGCATGACGGTAAGCTAGAGTGTTAACACTCGAAGTTAGACCGCTAATTGCTATTGCTTTGAATGTTATGATTATGATGCATGATTATTATGGATTAATGATGATGATTATTCTGAATAAAATAATGATTATAAAGTATTGAACTGGAATCCGAATAAATGGATTGATAAAAATGAGTGGTATTGTTAATGCTATCTAGAAGAACTCTATGATAGACCTCCGATTAGAATGGGCCTTGCGGGTATAAACATGTATATTCGCTGGCCTTGGGTAAAAATGTACGTACGAGATCCATAAACCAAACTAGAGGCACTCGTTTGGGGATACCATCCAACCCGACAGTTAGTATTCTACTGTTCGGTTTTCTAGATTTGTACCTTAAGCGAAGGCTAGTTTAAGAGTTGGTAAATCAATCAGAATACATGTACCTTAAACTAATGACATAGCTTAAGAGTTGGATAGAAGTACCTTGAACTAGAATTAGTTTAAGAGTTGGTAAACATCAACAAGATTGGTTTTAAACTAAGCATAGTTTAAGGATATTGATGAATTTTGAATATTGAATATGAATATTGATTGTTGAAATATTGAAATAAAAATATTGAGAATATCATGAATGAATCATATATTATGTTCATGATATCAAATGGTTGTTTGTGAATTGAGATTCAATTTATGTGGATGTTTGATGCTTTAGATATGCTTACTCAGCTTCACCGCTGAGCGTGTAATATGTTTTATTTGCTACACGCGGGTAAACAAATCGAATGAAGTTCCCAAATAATATTACCATAACTATCCTCATAATCAACTTACAAAGTAATCTGATCCTCCTCCCATAACTATCCTCATAATCAACTCACTTTTCTGAATTACATCCACCATTTACTCATTACTATAAGTACCTCCACCCATCACTCTCTACCATAATTACTCCCACCACTAACTTCCCTAACATATTTATCATCATAGTTACTCCCTCATCTCTCACTAAATATATTGCATATTCATCTATGCAATTATGTAAATACGTGTTCCTATTTTTAAATAATTTTAATTTAGTTTTAATACCCGAGTAATAAAAAGTAAATTTATTAAATTCACTATTTGCAATTTACGTTAGTTTAAAAATTCTGAATAAGCTTAATTTTTATGAGCTATTGATAATTTAGTATTGCAGAAAGTAAATTATGGCATAATTAAAAAATTTAAATACAATTTAAGTAGTCACGAGAGACCAAAAAGGAAAAAAAATACAAATTTCCATTTAAATACCTAAATTAATTAGACGTATTTTCTAATTTCCTAATTTATGAAAAAACGGGATCCCATTTTTATTTGGAATTAGAAATTACGTACGGATGTAATTTAATAAATACACTAATAATATTAATAGACGAATGATTTTCTTTATTTAATATAATTACTACACGGAAATATATATATTTAATAATAATACAAATTTATTGATTTATTTCTTATTATCAGAAAGGATATTATTGGATACTTGGTGATGTTGTTGAAATTGAAAACACCAATGAATGGTGTTATCTTGGTTGTCCCAAGTGCAATCGGAAGGTTGCTCCAGATGCTACGAGGTTCAAGTGTATGAAATGCGAAAAAGATTATCCTGAAGGAGTGTATAGGTTGTTATTTGCATTCAAAATATTTGATACCCCGAAAGAATAATTTTTAAAATTACTAATTTTTAACGTATGATAAATAGATACAAGGTGAGCATTTGTGTTATTGATAATAGCGATGCTGCTTCCCTTATTTTGTGGGATAAGGAATGTTCAGACCTTCTTGGGATGCCAGCCGGTGCCATGAAGAGTATGATGGATGAGGTATTGACTTATTTAACTCTTTATAAAAAATTTGTAATGCAATTTAAAATACCACTTTTTGAAACGTATAGAGAAATGATGATTCAAGCAACATTCCGAAGGAGATTAGAGACATTGTTGATATGCGGGCGATATTTTGGGCGTTATTTTGCATATACCTCAAAGAGGCTGTGGAGAACAATTCCTATGGAAGTGGCAAAAGTTTTGGAGTTTCGGATATTATAACAGATAAAACTATCATATCTCGATATGAAACCATTGATTTGGATGATCAATTTGAACAAGCCCTTATAGAACATGAGAAGAATGGAGATGTTTTAGAAATGGTATTTTTACTCACCCATAAGCTAACGTGATTTCCAAAAAAACCACAACTTTATTATCAATGAAAAAATATTACACTTTAATTTTACTTGCAGATTGGTTCAAATGATGTCCTGAAGGTTTTGAGAGATGAGAGTATATCAAGGAAAGAAGTAATTGATCAAGCGGACCCTGTGAAAAGATCTTTACAAGATGAATTCAGTTCAACTGCAGAAAATAAGAGATTGAAGGCGATCAAGGTGGAGAAGGAGTGACGAATAGATGAATTGTTTTATTTTGTGTTTGATGAATTTAATTTTAGTACACTAGCATCCTGTTTTGTTTTTTAAGTTCTTTAAAGTTTAATTTCGTTTTTTAAATTCTCAATAAAGCAAACTTGCCTTTCTTAGGAGATTTGCCTTTAAAGTTATGATTTCGTTTACTTGCATTTAAAATATTTCCTAATAATGTTCAAACACCCAAACCGTTAATAAATCAATGTTACCGTAAGTACGTAATTACTCAATTATAAAACATTACGAGTCCTGAATGTTCTAATTGTAAAAAGGTAAGTAATACTAAAATATTTAAAGTGACAATAAAATATTCAAACAAGTTTTCTAATTGGAAAAAGGTAAGTCATAATAAAATATTCAAACATGATTACACTTACCTTTAATAAAACAATCCTTTTTAACCAGTTTGCACGATTGGTAATTTATTTGTATGGTAATAATGGTTTTTAATTATAATTACTGCTATAGATTTAATAATATCTAAAAAATATTACATTTAAAAATGGTAATATACATCATGTAAATAAAGTTTTCACACACGCCATGTTAAATAAAAAAAATTCACACACGCCATGTTGAATAAAAAAATAAGTATGTATATCATTAAAAGGTAATTAAAAAAAATAATTAACGTAATGCTAATAAAATATATATATTATTTTGGTATTATGTGAATTTATACAAATGGTAAATGTATTTAATTATATTCACTATTTTAGGTGTAATAATATATAATAAAATATTACATCTAAGAATGGTAATATATACATGTATTCTGATAAGAAAAATCATATAAAGTATTGAGTACGTATATATAATGTGAAGTATTAAATACGCATACAAAAAAGATAATTAAAAATCTAATTACCACACTAAAGAAAGGCTAATAAAATAGAAATACTATTATGTTATCTTCTAATATAACTGTGTATTCTGAAATTGAAAATAAAAATAGAAAAATACATATAGAGTAATGTAGATTTTTATCACGTATACAAAAAAGTTTATAAAAACTTATTAATGGTAGAGATTTAAGACATTAATGCAGGGAAACAAATTAGAGAAAAATTCCCTGCTCGAAAAGGTAAGTGTTGATAGACATGTATATATTACCATTCTTAGATGTAATATTTTATTATATATAATTTGGTAATTCTTAACCCCATATGATAATTAGTAACTGTGTATTCTGAAATTGAAAATAAAAATAGAAAAATACATATAGAGTAATGTAGATTTTTATCACGTATACAAAAAAAGTTTATAAAAACTTATTAATGGTAGAGATTTAATACATTAATGCAGGGAAACAAATTAGAGAAAAATTTCCTGCTTGAAAAGGAAAGTGTTGATAGACATAAAAAGATAATTAAAAACAAAATTTTGGCCGGATTCCTCATACCATCAAATCTGCAGCCTATAAAATCTCTACCAGATAAATGAATATTTGTGGTGATTAGTGAGGATATGATAAAGAAAAAAAACCTGGCTTTCCAATCACCTACATTCAAAAGAATTCGATACACAACTGGAGAGGCATTCGAGAGAGCCAATATTCAGAGGGCATTTGCAGAGTAACGAATTACTTATGCGGCAATTAAAGACGTCAACAAGAATTATTGGTGCAAAGCGCATCAACCCCGATTCAAACATAGGTACGTCACTCATACTTTAATTCAATTATTAATAAAATTTTTTAGGTTGGTGAATATAAATTTTTCACTAAACATTAAATCGAGGAATCTCTAAACCCATTGATTTTTATTTGAAATCAGATGACCAAAAGCAATATAATAACGTAAAAATCAAACACATGTAACATAGTGCATATACCTTATCAGTACTCCGGAATTTGAATGTCTCCTCAAGACTTCCTAAGAATTGAAGCACTTTCTTCCAATAAACCAAGATTTACCTATGAACTCAAAAAAAAAAATATTTATGAAAATGGATTAGTCCGGATTTTTAACCAAAAAAAAAATTGGCGTGTGTATGTTAAATGTAGAATCTAAATGACAGTTATATATTCGTATCTAAAATTTGTATATACTAACATAAATGTACCATATCAATCTGTCATAATTCACAAAAAAAAATGGTTGGGTGAAATTGGTCCAGCTGCTAAATTCATAATTCCAAGAAATAACTAATTTAATAGAATTAGAACATAATTATCTAAGAATATGTAAAATCTGGAACATTCTCATATAAACAAATTGGTCTCTTTATTATTCTTATTACTGTGATTTTTTTTAAATTTTTATATTTATTAAAACAAATTCCGAAATACTTAAAAAAAATACCAATAAATCGTTATGATATAATTATATCAAAATTACGACAAGTATTTCTACCAATTTCTAAATTCCCGATCAAAAAGAAATAATTGAGGACTTAGATCTAATTTCATATAAAAAAAGTAGATTAAATCTTTAACTTACATTTAGTATTAAGCACTGGATGATGCAGACCCTGACTTTGTCTCCTCCAGTCCAAAACCATTCTTCCGATTTTTTGGAGAACGAAACGAGGAAAATGAATTTTTATCAAAAAAAAATTATAAACATGACCCGCAGAGAAATAAAACGCGTTGAGGGATTAGAAATACGATTCTATAACCTTTCCGACCAAAAAAAATTACGAGTTGAAGAAGCAAGGAGTCAATTGATTACAAACAAGATGAAGAGGAGTTGAAGAAACCGAAGAGATGCGTAGAAGAGAGAGAGGGGTCGGCGAAGAAGACTCTGGATTACGTAATCCATATATTTTATTCGTTTGGGATATGGGTATCACTTGGACCAACTTTTGAAATGTCCATAAGTAAATAACCATTAAGTTTTGGGCCGAAAATTATTTAATATTACTTGGGCCATTTGTTCGAAATATATTTGGGACAAGAAAATATACTACATTCTTTAATACACAATTCACAAATTTTAAACATTACAAACATTGTCAATTATTATTTTTTTAAAATTATTATAAGATACATTAAATTTTAATTTTGTTGAAAAAGATAACAATTAAAAATTAAAACACTTTTAGGAATTTTGTTGAAAAAGATAAGAATTAAATATTAAAACACTTTTTACACTAAATATTAAGCCACATGGGTGAAGAAGTTGTTATTCCAAGATTATCATTAACACCGTCCGATACAAGAATTCCTTTCAAGTTTCGAAGAAGACAATTCCATGTGGTTACTTCGTACGCAATGACGATTAACAAGAGCCTGGGACAATCTCTGAAACATGTTGGACTACTGTAGTGGATTGAAGATTCTGATATGCAATGAAGACGATACTCCCACAAATACTGCACATAATGTAGTATATAAAGAAGTCTTTCGAACTTTGTAAAACATTGATGTTCTGTACTTTGAAATTATATATACACTAAGCTCTATTGCATTTCAGTTTTTATCACTGAAAAATGATCTGAGTTCAAAAACATAAAAATGACCCGTGCAACGCACGGGTGTGATACTAGTCTCTCACTAAAAAAGAAACCCTTCACCTTCAGGAAGGGGGACCATGCTCATAAAACTAGTATACACTCTCACATTACTTAGAAAATACTCGCATTATTTATTTTTTATAGAGCTAAAATGCTCCATCAATGGCTGCAAAGCCAAGATTATAGACTATGTACTACCCCTCATATTAATAAAATCTCCCCGTTGGTATGGTATCGTTGAAAAAAGCCTATGGTTTTCTTCTGATTTGAGTTTCCACGCTAAAATGAGCTTGTTCATATTTTTGGTGATTGTTAGACTCGTTTATCATTTTGACACAGTAAAAATGATAAAACCAGTCGAAATAATTAACACCATTAGTTACCATAGTTGTTTTCGTACTATGATTAGAATTCTCTCATGTAACCCCTATAAATAGGGATTTATCTTTCAATATTCAATAAGACAAATTATTGTTAAATTGTATCAACTATCAACATAATATTTGATAAATATGGACTAAATATCGAAACCCACAATTATAGAAGACTATTTAGAGAATTACTCTTTATTATATTGTGTTCCCAACAAATATGATCGATAATAAGAGATGTAATATGATAAGTCACAATTTAAAAAATGAATAAAGATACAATTTAGGGCATGTGAATGGTGTTGGATATAATTAGAAATGCAAGACTAAGATGTTATGTGTGAAATAAATATGTTATTCAACTGATTAGAAATACTAATTACGTTCAAGGACCATTTACAAAATAAATTGTGAGGATGACTTCAACAAATTAAAAAAATTACATGAATAAGAAACAAAAGTCGGTTATTATTTTGTATATGGACTTAGGGCTTATTCTCTTCAATTTTATGTGATTGATTCTGATTTAGTTTGGATATGATTTAATTATATTTATATTTAAAGCTATTTCTAATATGATCTAGTTTCACTAAGAATAAATATCAAGTAAAAAGGATAAGTTGAAGAAAAGAAACTCATGAAACAAATAGAGAGTATAACTTTTTTATTCAACTTTACAAAGGAATGGTTGCATTGACTAGTAGGGCTGGGTTGGGAAAACCAAAAACCGCAAACCGAATCGAAACCAATCAAGAATTAACTAGAAAAAAATTGAACCGAGAAACCAAAATCGAATGTAAAAAATCGAAATGTTATTGTTTGATTTCTGTTTTGGTTTCTACTGTGGAATATCGAACTGAATCGAATAAATCAAACTTTTTTAGGTACTTCGCTTTATTTATATGAGTATATGTGATATGTAAAAAATTATAGAAATATAAATGCAAATAGTTGACTAGTCGATTAAAGTTTTTTTAACTATTAATTAAACATTTTAAACCATATTATAAACTTTTAAAAAAACCTAAGAATATAACCATCAATAACTAATCCTAATACAGAATTATATTAACATTACACATATTATAAACTTTTAAAAAAACCTAAGAATTATATTAACATTATACATTGATACGAGTAATTTACATATTTACTTTAAAAACTTTGATGTTATAATAAAAATGAAAATATTATACCAAAAAATGCAAATTCTCTGCATATTTACATACAATGCATTTGGGAGTATTCGAAATTTCTAGATTTTTGTTGGACACTCGACACATTTTTTGTTGTAAAATTAAACGGAATGGAACACTAACCTTCTGTTCGGTATATGGTTTTGTATAAAAATCAAACAAAAAAATCGAACCCAAACCTACATATTATTATTGCTTCATCGGGTTAGTATTTTTACAATTTCTCAATGCTTATAAATTTTTATTTTTATAAACCAAAATAAAAATCATATAAAATCGAAAAGAATACACAATTATTTACATATTTTTTATACAAAACTGAACCGCCAACTTAAAACTCATCTTGATTTTGATTTTGGGTGAAAACGGAACTGCCAAAATGAAATCCACCCCAATTGACTAGTTCAAGAGGCTGGCTTTGAGAGCAAATGAATGGTTGCCCAACTTGCATTGACTTTGTTCAAGAGGCTGGCTTTTCCGTAGCTTCTGCCTTTCGTGTTTTACTTTTGGACGGCAAGCAGACGGTTTCTTTTCCATAGATTCGGGCAATCGGCACTTCGGTAGACTGGTTTTTTCTTTTTTGGATACTTCAAAAAACAAAAAAAAATTGTGAAATTTGCACTAAATAAGACTAAAACATGATGATTTTCCAAATTTAGAACTTAAACTTTTTTATTCCCTAAATATGACTTATTAATGTCTTAGTGGGTGGAATAATGTCCAGTAATGATGGACATTTACTTAAATAATGACTAATTCATAATGACCAAAAGTCTTATATTAGAAAAATAAAAACATATGATCCTATATTGGGAAAGTCATTATGTTTTAGTCCTATTTAAGTAAATTAATCAAAAAAATTTGGACAGTCCAAAAAAAAGATGAGAAAGAAATTACTGAACGAAAGGAGTATTAGTCTAATTTTAGAGATGAGAGGTTATTCAATTCTGTGCGCCGTGCCCGGTATGGTGCATACAAGAAGCTATTTATACATATCACATTGAATAGGACTTTTAAATTGCCGTTGTCAGAAAATCCATCATGAAATTTCTAACTTAACACTTCTTCCATAAGAGCATCTAAGATGCCCTTGCTGGTAAGAAAGACCGATGAGGAAAGTACCAGTAGCGAAAATGTTACTCCATAGTTTGTTAGTCAGAATTTATTGTGGTACACAAACTTTAATAATTAATTATATAGAAATTACATTATAAATTTATATTGAAATAATTTAATTAAATTTATCTTATAAAATATTTTTAAAAATATAAATTTTATAAATATTAGAGTAAATATTTATCTATTTAATAATCAAAATTTACCTAATAATTTAACTAGAAAAAGATTAAATTGGACAAACTTATTAAGAGGAACCGAGGGACTCGGAGGGAGAGAGTAAAAGATGAAAGGCTAAAGTTGTTAAATAAGAAAAATGTTAGGGAACACCAACACTATGTTTGGCTTAAGGATTTTGGAAGGAAAAGAAAAGAAAATGGTTTTCTCTCATTTTCCTCACCAAAATGGAAGGAATTTGATTTTCTCTCCACTTGGTACATTTTGCCTCCTCATTTTCTTTTCCTTTCTTTTCCCCTCTAACCAAACAAGAAAAATGGTTTTCCACTTCATTTTCTTTTCTTTTCCCTTTCAAATTCCTTGAACCAAACATAGTGCAAAAGTGTATCTCATTTGTCCCCCATACCCTCCACCACCTCATAAATGGGCAAAAAAATTAAAAATAAATAAATAATTAAAAATCAAATAAATATGTGTGGTGAAAAAGTAGTTGAGGGACAAATGGGTACACCTCATTGCTAGTTAAATAATCATGTCATATGAAAATGGTACGATGCTTTTCTCGGGCTAACGTTGAATGTCTTGTTTCAAGCACTAGCGTTTGACTTTGAGTTTTTGAAAAACATTAACACCATGTAGAGTCATGAACCTTTGTAATTACCTCAAAAAAAAAAGAACCTCTGTAATCACCATAACGTATAAAACTTTGTTTGGTTGATAATAACGCCACCTTGTTCAAATTGAATTTACCATTATTTTGGTAAATTGAATTTACCAAAATATTTTGATGACAATAGTACTTGCAAATTCACTAGAAATGTGGTGTACCCCAATATTTTCCAAAAATTTGGAATTAAATTGAGTGTTTACATGTTCATTTGTGTGATTATATAGAAGAATTTCCATTAGCAAATACTTATCCTATATCGTTTGTTGAGTATTTATTGAGGTCACTATTGTAATCTGTTTAATTTTTCAACCATTAACTTCGAAAAAATAATAGAGTAAAACAATACATCCGTTCCATCCGTGCATGGCAAGCGTTAAAATACTGTCAGATCATGGATTACCATTTATGTTTCAAAGAAGACAATTTCCAATATCTTTATTTTTTGTCATGACAATCGATAAGAGTCAAGGCCAAACATTATCATTTGTTAGATTATTATAGACTAAATCGTTATTCACTCACACACGGTCAACTTTATGTTGCAGTTTCACGAGTAAAAACTTAGAAAGGATTGAAAACGTTGGTTTTAGATGACAATGGTAACCCTTGCAATTGCACCAGAAATGTGGATTTGATTAATACATTCATACGTTCTTTTCAATTTTTATATACATGAATTTAAGTTAGTATACTCTGTTTATGTCGTATCTAACATTCTATATTATATTTACCTTTAATTTATTCTTTATTTATTTTCTTAAA